TATTCTTTTCCTAAGCTGTCATTTTTAATACTTACACAGGATTTATTTTCGTCAGAAAAACAAATAGAAAAATGATGCTGTGACCTGTGTTAACAATCATCGTTCAAGGGTAACTGGCGTTCTGTTCTATTGGCGTGTCTGCACCCTGCGTTAAGGCGCACGTTACCAATAAAACAAATGATAAAAGGTTTCAAGACTCTTTACGTTCAGGTTAAATGAATGCTCTTTTTATTTCAAATACATTTGTGATTATGGTAAACCACACGAGGAAATAATATAAACGTCGTATTTTACTTCCAATATTAGTTTAGACCAGTACATCCTGATGACGGATGTCTTGTGTGGACAGATATATGGTTTACAAACAGTTCCTTGTCGATGTTGAACTGTGGGTAAAGCTGAGACAGTTTGATAATGTTTCCACCCTGATGTCTGCAAACTAAGAAACCGAGAAGCTGCTGATTAGACCGAGTTAGTTACACTGTTGGAGACTTTACAAGACAATAGCGACTGACGTCAATCCTGACGTCGGTTACAAGGGTACGGTCAATTACGAGAGTGAGTGAGTGAGTGCGTGAGTGAGTTAAAATTTAAAGTCACATCGGCAATATTTCAGCCATATCGTGACTAAAACTAGTTCTAAATTCATAATACATACAGATAATATATAAAACCCTGTCAACGAAGGACAGTAAAACCACTAGATTATCACAAAATGAGTTAAAACTAGCTAGCATATAACTTTAAAAGTAGAAAACTATTTTTGGACAATACAATGTAAAAATGGGCGAGTAATCGCCAACAACTGAAGGTAGATCACCATACTAGGGACCATGGGGACTTACAGTGCCTTGGCTACCTGCATGGACCCTAGCTGGATTTACACCATCCCTTCAGCCATTGGCGTTTATACTGAGATTTAGCCATACATTAACAACACATAAATACTACGATTAAATACCTGGTACACTTAAATTGACTAAATGTTTTGGGACTTACGTACCCAATTACAAGAGGACAGACTACAATGGCGTAGAGTGACGTAATGCTAATGTGAGCTTGGTACTGTACTGTGGGCGTCTTTTAGCGAACCATCTTAAACTGAAAGTTAATATTTTTTAATGAAAATATAGTATAGTGCGTCACCCAGACCCAAGTCAACAAATTAAGATGTCCAGATCACATACAAGATCACATTAGGCTTGGAAGGGCGTCATGATGCAATTCTATAGCCTGTCACGTGATCACTTCTGGGCCAATGAAAACAGTGGAAAATTCTTCATTGAATGATAACATCTACCTTCGGCGACATAGCCACTCATTAAAGTGTTAAAGTGTTTTAAGCAATTGTTAATAAAATCTTTAAAAAACCCGTCCAACGTTTCCATAAGTGTGGGTGTCATAGTTTGACTGTTTGCAAGTTACATCTATCGCTCGGTTTCTAAGTATCATTATGTGACATTTAATCCTGAATACATTTTCTGAGATATTCAGGTTCAATACAGGTTTTCAGTTTAACACAGGTGCGGTACACTCGTGAGTTGAGCGTAGGTCAGTTTACACACCACACTCAAACTTGAACCTCACAGTGCGCCGTGATTTGCCTCACCCTGGAATACCTATAAGTAAAGGTCAGGCTATGGCCCCTGTTTGCCTTAAGGGCGGGTTTGTGTACATATTATTGGTTGTCGTACACTGCGTGACTAGGTTTGTTTGTAATTGCAATATGATATCCAAACAAAGCATAAGGTGGACTGATTTATCTGCAACACGTATATCACTAACTGAAAAATATACAATTTGCCCATAAAGTGATTTTGTTAACTGCTGGAAACAACTAGCCTTGATACCAATCATCTTTTTTACTCGTTGTGTCAGTCATTACTACAGCTACAACATCCACGGTGGTGTCAGTGACTACTACATCTACTACATCCACAGATGTCAGTCATTACTACAGCTACTGACATCCCTGTTCGTGTCAGTCATTACTACATCCACAGCTGTGTCAGTCATTACTACAGCTACTGACATCCCTGTTCGTGTCAGTCATTACTACATCTACTACATCCACAGATGTGCCAGTCATTACTACAGCTACTGACATCTCTGTTCGTGTCAGTCATTACTACATCTATTACATCCACAGCTGTGTCAGTCATTACTACAGCTACTACATCCACAGCTGTGTCAGGCATTATTACAGCTACTGACATCCCTCTTCGTGTCAGTCATTACTACATCTACTACATCCACAGCTGTGTCAGTCATTACTACAGCTACTACATCCACAGCTGTGTCAGGCATTATTACAGCTACTGACATCCCTCTTCGTGTAAGTCATTACTACAGCTACTACATCCACAGCTGTGTCAGTCATTACTACAGCTACTGACATCCCTGTTCGTGTCAGTCATTACTACATCTACTACATCCACAGATGTGCCAGTCATTACTACAACTACTGACATCTCTGTTCGTGTCAGTCATTACTACATCTATTACATCCACAGCTGTGTCAGTCATTACTACAGCTACTACATCCACAGCTGTGTCAGGCATTATTACAGCTACTGACATCCCTCTTCGTGTAAGTCATTACTACATCAACTACATCCACAGCTGTGTCAGTCGTTACTACAGCTACTACATCCACAGCTGTGTCAGTCGTTACTACATCTACTACATCCACAGCTGTGTCAGTCATTACTTCAGCTACTACATCCACAGCTGTGTCAGGCATTATTACAGCTACTGACATCCCTCTTCGTGTAAGTCATTACTACATCTACTACATCCACAGCTGTGTCAGTCGTTACTACAGCTACTGACATCCCTGTTCGTGTCAGTCATTACTACATCAACTACATCCACAGCTGTGTCAGTCGTTACTACAGCTACTACATCCACAGCTGTGTCAGTCATTACTGTAGCTACTGACATCCCTGTTCATGTCAGTCATTACTACATCTACTACATCCACAGATGTGTCAGTCATTACTACAGCTACTGACATCCCTGTTCGTGTCAGTCATTACTGAGTGAGTGAGTGAGTTAATATTTAACGTCACATCGGCAATATTTCAGCCATATCGCGACGAGAACATTTGATATTGAAATGTAATATATGTATATTTTAAAAAACCTGCCGACGAAGGACAGTAAAACAACTAGAATGTATGTACAACTAGTAATTAAATCTAAAACGTTTTAACTATAGGGGAAAAACAATACAGTATAAAAATGGGTTATAAATCGCCGATAACTGAAGGTAGATCACCATACCAGGGACCATGGGGACTTACATTACTTTTGCTATTAGTTGGATTTACACCATCCCTTCAGCCATTGGCGACAGAAGAAAAATCTAGCCATAAATTAAAAGCACACATATTCTACGATTAAAAACGTGGCAAGCCTAAATTTACTCTAAATGTGTTGGGACTTACGTACCCTCTCAGGAGGACAATAATTTTACAATACTTCAACCCCCTTTGAGGGTACAGCCACTAACAATCGAAATTGATAATCTAAACTACTAATTATTAAACCTTATCTATTTACAAAACATATATCAAAAAATAAATTTAACAGATCTATCTCTTTTAAAAAATCAATGATTAAATGATAACTAACGTTACTAAAAAGGTCCTTTCCTGTTTTGACATTAAAATATCTATCCCTTATGATGGAGAATTCAACACAGTCAAGCAGGACATGCTTGACCGTGGTTGTCAGTCATTACTACATCTACTACATCCACAGCTGTGTCAGTCATTACTACAGCTACTACATCCACAGCTGTGTCAGTCATTACTACAGCTACTGACACCCCTACTCGTGTCAGTCATTACTACATCTACTACATCCACAGCTGTGTCAGTCATTACTACAGCTACTACATCCACAGCTGTGTCAGTCATTACTACAGCTACTGACACCCCTACTCGTGTCAGTCATTACTACATCTACTACATCCACAGATGTCAGTCATTACTACAGCTACTGACATCCCTCTTCGTGTCAGTCATTACTACATCTACTACATCCACAGCTGTGTCAGTCATTACTACATCTACTACATCCACAGCTGTGTCAGTCATTACTACATCTACTACATCCACAGCTGTGTCAGTCATTACTGTAGCTACTACATCCACATACTGTAGCTACTACATCCACGGTCGTGTCATTCATTACTACAGCTACTGACATCCCTGATCGTGTCAGTCATTACTACATCTACTACATCCACAGCTGTGTCAGTCATTACTGTAGCTACTACATCCACGGTCGTGTCATTCATTACTACAGCTACTGACATCCCTGATCGTGTCAGTCATTACTACATCTACTACATCCACAGCTGTGTCAGTCATTACTACATGCACTACATCCCTGTTCGTGTCAGTCATTACTACTGACTATTTGTTAATTCTGTTGCAAGATAATCTACGAATATCATCTGACAGACACAGTGGCTTCCTTCCCCGTCCAGGGGAAATATATATTTTACAGAATGTATGTAAATGTGTCCTTTTCTCAAACTGACGCCAAGATATCCCAGTATTTCTGCCAGATGTTACTGCTGTGGCTTGTGTGAGGAAGGGTCAAAGTGTCGATATTCCTTGAGCAATTTCATTTAAATGAGACCTTACTTCTCGCAAACGCGAAATAAGGAGGAGACAGACCAATATGCCATTAAAGGTCATGTCAGACGGACCTTAGCTGCGACCAGTCACAGCCTTGCTGACCGGATCTGGAAAGAGGGAATGTGGCTACAAATAATGGAACAGTGTTCTCTCATTAGTTCGGAGTAGTACACACACACACAAACGCATGCACATACGCACACGTGCGTGCACCTCGCTCTGTAAGTGCTGTTATCTTGAACGTGACGTCAAATCTGTATTCTGGACAGTGTTTGACTTCTTCAAACCCTGATCGCAATCATGAATCACGCTGCTTCCTTGTTTTCATCCCTGTTTTATCGTGATCAGATATGGCCAGGAAAGCTCTGCATCCGTGTTCCTCAACCGGAGCTCAAACAGGATTGGTCACATGTACAAGAAGGTGATATACAGGGAGTACACCGACAGTACGTTCACCATCGAGAAACCGAAACCGGTTTGGCTGGGCTCGTTGGGACCGGTTCTCAAGGGCGAAAGAGGCGATTCAATTATCATCCACTTCCGGAACAATGCATCACGGACGTACTCCATGCATCCGCACGGTGTTCACTACGAGAAGGCGCACGAAGGTATGCGATGTCGGAAACAGGGGAGTCTTAAAAGCGGTCAGAATATTACTTGTGCTTATCACGAACCAGTTGGATAATCATGCATTTGGACAATAAAGCATTGGGGCAATGAAGTATTTGGATAATGAAACACTTGTATAATGAAACACTTGTATAATGAAGTATTTGGAAAATGAAACATTTGGATAGTGAAACATTTTGAAAATAAAACATTTGCGTAATGAAGCATTTGGATAATGAAACATTTGGACAATAAAACACCTGGATCCTTAAGCATTTGCATAATTAAACATTTTGAATTATGAAACAATTGGATTACGAAACATTTAGACAATAAAACATGTGGATATTGAAACATATATGTTCCAGTTAGAACGAGCCAAAAACGTTTCCTGTGATAACAGTGACTGTTTTCTTGAGTTCCAAATTGTAGTAAAGCTGAAACTTTGACCACTGGTTCATAACCATGGCCCAAATAGCCGCAAGTGGACCTGCATGAGTCTCAAAAGCCGAATGCTTGTGTAGCCTGTAAAGCTTGCCCACTTTGTATTGGAGGTATATGGTATTTCCTGTGCGGATGTATTAACCAATTAAATTACATTTGTGACGTCATTCCATTGTCTGCTCGCTCCATTACTTTTCAGGAATGGAGGGTTGTGTACCAGTTTCAAATTAAAGCCTTCATTTTGTCATTTAATTTTGATAACAGAAATGTTCCCCATACTTTGAATGTAATTTAAGTAGGGTAATATCCTCGTAACTCTCCATTCCTTAAAAATAATGTGACTCGGCCCCTCCAGGGCCTCGGCTCCATTATTTTTAAGGCATGGAGAGTTACTCGGACATTACTCGTCACGATATGGCTGAAATATTGCCGATGTGACGTTAAATATTAACTCACTCACTCACTACTCGGACATTACACTCTACGTATTCGACTTCCAGGCGCACTGTATGCTGACGGAGTTCACGGCAAACCCAGTGCCACAGATATTGTGCCCCCTGGACAGAGCCATACCTACAACTGGACAGTGGCCGTGGAGTCCAGCCCGGCCGAGGGAGACCCGGACTGCTTGACCTGGTTATATCACTCTCATGTGTCATCGGTTGAAGACATCTCCTCGGGGCTGATCGGATTTCTCCTGACCTGTCGTAATGGTAGCAGCTCTTCCATTGTCACATCTCACATAGGGTTTCATTAAACATGAGCAATTACCTGCCTCTGATTAACGACATCTCTGCTCAGTATATAAGTTGGGTAAAATAGGGAGTGCTGATATAATGACATACCTCCGATATCGTCCAAGACGATACAGTGTCCAGTTAAACGACACTACCTGGAAAAATACCTGGAAGAGTAAATTCGAACTGACATCAGAAATTATTTTGAATAGTATTCTCCCTAACCCTGAAAGCATAACAAGACTGGCGGTTCACAAGATACAGAGTTGCGTACACACGCCGGGAAAGTAGTCGTAATAAATGCTTGCGTTTTAAGCAATATACATGCAGTAACCAAACAGTCGGACAATGTTGATGGTTGCTAAAATAATACATACAGAGAAATGCTATTCCATAACGATATATTTGATATGGGTTACACAGCTTTGTTTTGCGTCCTTATTTTGATGTGTTTGAGCAACTGTTTCCAGTCTTGAAACAAATGTCCCGAGTGTATACTTTCTTTTTCCCGTCAGTTTACTCACACAATATCTCGAATCACGTGACATCGTTTCGTATTATTTTGATAATTACATAAGGATAGTTATCTTTGAAAATCATGGGTCCTGATATGTGAGCATTTTAGTCAGCGCCCCTCTGTTTTACCCAACTGTAAACTCTTTTATGCTGACTTTTTTTGTGATGGCCTCGTGGGTAGGAATCCCCGACAGCCTGGAAATGACTCTCGCCAAACTGTTTAACCCAGATAGAGGTGCCCAGCAATGGCCTCCAGTGTTTTTAGAACGTCATTAAAGCCAGTGGTCTCTCACTACAGGTACTCTACTGAAATGGGAGGAATCGCCACTTTACGCCATTTACGTCAGCGTCTTTGACGAGAATCTCAGCTGGTACCTCGACGACAACATCAGATCGTACACTACCGGGGTTGTTGATAAAGATGACGAGGACTTTCTGGAGAGCAACAAGATGCACGCCATCAACGGCTACGTGTATGGCCACCTACCGGGAGTCAAGGCCTGTGTAGGGGAGACAATCCACTGGCATATGGGGGCATTTGGGACTGAGATCGACGTCCACGCTTTGGCCGTCAGTGGACATTCCTTCCAATATTTCAACCATCGGTGAGCGGCATATTGTACATGTCAATTGTGTTACTCAGGTGACCTGACATGGCTATTGATGTAAATACATTCTATCTTGTAATATGATTTGTGAAGTCACTAATACTTGTGATAATATAAGTAGAGCAGTGGTAGTAGTTGCGTCAGTGATGGTCTTAGTAGTACCAGTGATTAGTAGTAGTAGTGACGGTCTTAGTAGTACCAGTGACGGTCTTAGTAGTAGCAGTGACGGTATTAGTAGTAGCAATGACGGTCTTAGTAGTACCAGTGACGCTCTTAGTCGTAGCAGTGACGGTCTTAGTAGTAGCAGTGTCAATCTAAGTAGTACCAGTGACGGTATTAGTAGTAGCAATGACGGTCTTAATGGTACCATTGTCACTCTTAGTAGTACCCGTGACGGTCTTAGTAGTAGCAGTGACGGTCTTAGTAGTAGCAGTGTCAATCTAAGTAGTAGCAGTGACGGTATTAGTAGTAGCAATGACGGTCTTAATAGTACCAGTGACGGTCTTAGTAGTAGCAGTGACGGTCTTAGTAGTGGCAGTGACGGTCTAAGTAGTGGCAGTGACGGTCTTAATAGTACCATTGTCACTCTTAGTAGTACCAGTGACGGTCTTAGTAATAGCAGTGTCAATCTTAGTAGTAGCAGTGACGGTATTAGTAGTAGTAGTGTCGGTCTTGGTAGTAGCAGTGACGGTCTAAGTAGTGGCAGTGACGGTCTTAATAGTACCATTGTCACTCTTAGTAGTAGCAGTGACGGTCTTAGTAATAGCAGTGTCAATCTTAGTAGTAGCAGTGACGGTATTAGTAGTAGCAATGACGGTCTTAATAGTACCAGTGACGGTCTTAGTAGTAGCAGTGACGGTCTTAGTAGTAACAGTGTCGGCGTTAGTAGTACCAGTGACGGTGTTAGTAGTAGCAGTGTCGGTGTTAGTAGTAGCAGTGTCGGTGTTAGTAGTAGTAGTGACGGTATTAGTAGTACCAGTGACGGTGTTAGTAGTACCAGTGACGGTCTTAGTAGTAGCAGTGTCGGTGTTAGTAGTAGTAGTGACGGTCTTAGTAGTAGCAGTGACGGTGTTAGTAGTACCAGTGACGGTCTTAGTAGTAGCAGTGTCGGTGTTAGTAGTGGCAGTGACGGTCTTAGTAGTAGCAGTGTCGGTCTTAGTAGTGGCAGTGACGGTCTTAGTAATAGCAGTGACGGTCTTAGTAGTAGCAGTGTCAATCTTAGTAGTAGCAGTGACGGTCTTAGTAGTAGCAGTGCCAGTCTTAGTAGTACCATTGTCACTCTTAGTAGTAGCAGTGATGGTCTTAGTAGTAGCAGTGACGGTCTTAGTAGTAGCAGTGACTTGTCTTAGTAGTAGCAGTGACGGTCTTAGTAGTACCAGTGGCGGTCTTAGTAGTACCAGTGACGCTCTTAGTTGTAGCAGTGTCACTCCTAGTAGTAGCCCTGACACTCTCAGCAGTAGCACTGACGCGCTTAGCAGTAAGAGTGGCACTCATAGTAGTGGCAGTGTCGCTCCTGGTAGCTGCAATAGCCGGTTGAGTCGTGTTCTCCACACCTAAGGAGTGTTCTTCTTATCTTCCTGCAGAAAAGACTCGATTCGTCTGACCGTTGCGCAGTTTGCGACGGCCGATATGACCGCACTGGCCAGGGGAAAGTGGTTGTTCAGGTGCCAAGTCAGCGATCACATCAGCGGTACGTGTTCATAGAAGTCAGTTTATGTGCCCCCCAGGGAAGAGATCGGCAGGGTTCATTAAAGGTTCAATTTACAACTGCCGAAGATGTAACGCAAATAACTCGCCACTGAGTGTTAAGTCAACCGCGAAAATTCACAAATTCAGGCAAATCTAAAACTGAGCGGACAGGTACATCGTCCTTGTCAGGTAGCCCCCGAGCTGTGGGTACCTGGAAATATAAACCGGTTCCACCTCGTCGACCTCGCACGTATTTGCACCATGCACAAAGACTTCACAACAATAGACATACATGTCGGGTACAGATCACTTTACGTAAGGAGGCCAGTCCTCTCCGGGGACTTGGTAGAGTTGAGTGAGTGAGTGAGTGAGTTAATATTTAACGTCACATTGGCAATATTTCAGCCATATCGTGACGAGAACATTTTACATTGTAATGGAATATGTATATATTATAAAACCTGCCAACGAAGGGCAGTAAAACAACTAGAATATCACAATTAGATTTAAAACTAGTGTGGAAGGTTAAAACTAATAGCACTATTAGGACAATACAAGATAAAAACAGGCTATAGATCGCCAACAACTGAAGGTCGATCACCATACTAGGGACGGTAGAGTTGAGGTGAGGTGAGGTGAAATTGGGTTTAACGTCGTGCTTGAGAATATTTCGCTTATATGACGACGTGCATGCGACGTGCATGCGTGTGTATGTGCATGTGCGGCTGCTTGTACTAGCCCAGACTTAAGCTGGTTTTACAGTGCTAGCTCACTGAGATACCATGCCGCAGTGAAGCATGAATACCCCACTCAGACACATTATACTGACTCCGAGGCCGACGAGTCCTTGTTGTACCCATTAATGCCGAGCGCCAGGCAGGGACCGACACGTACCATATGTCTTTTGGTATGACGCGGTCGGGTGGACGCTTTAACCACTACACCACGGAGGCGGTCACTTGGTAGAACAAAGAATAACAGTCATATATTGAAAGTCTCTGTTACCTCCACTCCATGAGTCAACACGTCAAACGTCTATGCATAATAAAAAGGCAGATTCAATTTGATGTAAAGCGCAAAACACAGGTGTTCGCGACGTGTGTTTGCAAGTGAAACTCTATCAAACATACAGCTAACAACACTATCAGTTTGAATAACAGTACTTACCTCCGCTCTGAGAGTGAAGGATGTGGGGTAGCCCAGTGGTTAAAGCGTTCGCTCGACACGCCGAAGACCCGGGTTCGATTCCCCATTTGGGTACAATGTGTGAAGTCCATTTCTGATGTTCCCCACCGTGACGTTGCTGGAATATTGCTAAAAGTGGCGAAAAACTAAATTCACTCACTCGCTTTGGGAGTGAAAATCCAGATAACCAGATTCAGTGGCAGGGTGATTCGTGATGTCATTGGATGAGGCGATTGTCAATAGTTTCAGCACTGTTTCAGGTAATGCCATACTAAAATACTCGTGTGATGTAGAATACGATTAGAAAGACTATACCTACAAATGAGCGTTCATACACATGTATGTGGTAAAGGAAGAACAATGGCTGATAGATGCCGCACAGGATGATGATGATGATGATGATGATGATGATGATGCGGTGTTTTTACGTGCGCTTCCTGATTTAATTATTTCCCATAGTGATAATTAACACAGAATCAGCGTATATACTATTGTTTAGTTCTTTATTTCAGCTGGGATGGAAGCTTTCCTGACAGTCGACGACTGTAACGCCATCCCACGTGTTGACATCCGTGTCGACAACATACGACGTTACTACATCGCCGCCGAGGAAGTGATGTGGGACTACGCCCCGTCTGGACGGAACCGATACGACGGAGGCGAGCTGACAGAGGAGGGGAGGTAACTCCATAGTTTTGTATTGATAGATGTAACGCAAAATGTTTCGCTTCAAGATTCCGCATATACAGCCACTGCTACTTTACCACCACGACGACCACGACCACCACCATCACCGCATACCCTACAACCGTCACTACAACACCCTCGCAGTAGCCCCATCAACCACATGCTTCGCGTCTATGATACAACACCTCATCTCTCTACCGATCTTCCATCTATCCTGACAGTGACAGTGGGTTAGCCTTGTGGTTCAAGCTAGTGGAACCCGAAAACACGGGTTCGATTCCCCACATGGGTACATTGTGTGAAACCTATTTCTGGTATCCTCCGCCGTGATGTTGCTAAACTATTGCTAAAAGCAGCTACTGTTACCACACTCTTCCGATACTAACGCTCCCTGTAACGTACACGAACCAGCCAACCATCGCCATCCTTACCATGTTCTTCTCTATAACGGGGCGGTGGGGTAGCCTAATGGTTAAAGCGTTGGCTCGTCACGCCGAAGACCCGGGTTCGAATCCCCACATGGGCACAATATGTGAAGCCCATTTCTGGTGTCCCCGCCGTGATGTTGCTGGAATATTGCTTAAAGCGGCGTAAAACCACACTCAGTCAGTCAGTCTTCTCTATAACCATCACAACCAATCCCCTACCCGATACCCCTACACCCCATCCCATGCCCTTTGCAACACCCCCAACTCACATACTCACAAAGCTCTGCCATATCGCGAATCATTTGCGAAAGAGCGCTCGCTTGGAAAAATAACTGTAATATTTAGTGTTTGAATTGAGCCTCAATGAAGTTTACAGTGGTGTACCTTCTGTTGGCAGTGATTCCGAGGTGTTCTTCAAAAAGGACTCGTCTCATATTGGCGGAGTTTACAAGAAAGCGCTGTTCAAGGAGTACACCGGCTACATGTTTAACCAGGAGAAGCCCCAGGATGCCAGTGAGACTCACCTGGGTTTTCTGGGGCCGGTCATCAGGGCCGAGGTCGGCGACCTGGTGAAGGTCGTCTTCTACAACAAGGCCTCTCGGCCCTATTCCATCCATCCACACGGCGTGCAGCACAGCAAACTGAGTGAAGGCTCCCTCTACAACGACGGCATCTACGGTAACTTCAGTCTTAGTATTTACCGTACTGATAGGCCGATGGCTACTGCGTTCTCTAGCAGACTTAACACATTGCCCGTGTTCGAATCCCATACAACCCACATTAATACCCCCAGCGATTCTTCCAGGGAAGGGCCGGTTTGGCGGACATACTGTCCTGGAAATAAGGTTACCTGTAAAGGCTCAGTAATATATAGCAAAGGGACGCTTTGGTCTGTTCTAGAGTAAGTGAATATAGGTTTATGGCGGACTGAATCAGTATCTTCAACATAGGCTTACAGATTTTATCCTTCATAAGAAATAACCCGGGAGCGAGATTGAGGTGAGGTGAGGTGAAATTTAACGTCGTTTGAGGCATATGACGACGTGCATGTGTTATATGTGCGGCTGCTTGTACTAGCCCAGACTGAGCTGGGTTTATACCATGCCGCAGTGAAGCATGAATACCCCACTCAGACACATTATACTGCCTCCAAACCGACCAGTCCTTGTTGTACCCAATAATGCCAGGGACCAACAAGTACCATATGTTAACGTCTTTTGGTATGACGCGGTCGGGGATCGAACCCGCGACCTTCCGCTCTCCGGGCGGACGCTCTAACCACTACACCACGGAGGCGGTCAGCGAGATTGAGAGATAGGCTGTGCTTAAAAATCGGATTGTTTCATGAAATATATTCTGTATGAGAGCCTGAAGACTACTGTGATATGGTTGGAATATTGCCGGCGTAAAACAACATTCTTACACTCAAGCGTTTCTCACCAGTTGAAACTTTAGCCTTACAAGACGCTAGTGCTGGGTGAAATCTTGTCTAGTGTATGTTTCCATTTACTTTCTGACTTTACTGAGAGGCGGTGACTGTAAAGTGGGTTGTTGACTTCACGGGCATGATTTTATAAATTTGAAACAAATGTTGTTTCTCGTTAATCCGTACCTTTTCCAATAAAACCGAATGGTCATTGGTGGGTTGTTGACTTTACTGGGAGGTGGTGAGAGTAAAGTGGGTGGTTGACTTTACTGGGAGGTGGTGAGAGTAAAGTGGGTGGTTGACTTTACTGGGAGGTGGTGAGAGTAAAGTGGGTGGTTGACTTTACTGGGAGGTGGTGAGAGTAAAGTGGGTGGTTGACTTTACTGGGAGGTGGTGAGAGTAAAGTGGGTGGTTGACTTTTCTGGGAGGTGGTTCCAGTAAAGTGACTTTACTGGACTTTACTGGACTTTACTGGAGGTTGTGACAGTAGAGTGGGTGGTTAACTTCAATGGCGTGATTTTAAAACATTGCAATAAATTTGTTTTTCGTTAAAGTTATTTTTTCCTATAAAACCGAACGATCACTGAAGTGGGCCCAGTAAAAAATAGAAATTTTAAATTATACTAATAGATAAAGAAACCATGAAGTGTGTTATGATACATAGGATAGAGTCAGTACGCCATACTTATATTTATGTGATCAGAGTTACCTCCCTTCCTTCATTGGTCAAGATTGTGTTGCAGGACTTAAATTTGCTTCAAAGTCGATTCAAGGAAATTAAATGGTTCTATTAAATTCTATAAAAGATGTGTCGTTATGAAATCACCTGACAAAAAACTCAACTGAAAAGTCGTAATTCCGCCATGACAGTTATGAGTATAAACGAAACTAAAACTAGAAAGTGTGTGACTTATACGGCGTCATTGGCCACTATTAACGTGGTTTGACTCCCCAGGAAGTACGATGACTACGTGGAGCCCATGCGTATTCACACCTATTACTGGACGGTACCGGAGGAGATGGGACCCACGCCGGAAGACCCGCCATGTTTGACGCGAATGTACACTTCCAGCGTTGACGTCATCAAAGACGCCTACAGCGGCTTGGTCGGCCCGATGCTGATATGCAGAAAAGGGTCTTTGGATGAAAATGGGAATCAGGTATGCAGATTGTGTTTACAATCACATGTGCTGAAAGAATGGCACCAAGGACATGACGAATTATCGAAATGACATAAACGATCGTCTACTTAGGGCGAGGCGATCATAGTATTCCAGTTGCGTAGATCGATGCGCATGATTTCAGTGACTGGATAGTCTGGTAAAGACTAGAGATGACAAGACTTTTTGGATGATCAACTTCTTTGTTTTGACAATGGCGACGTTTCGGTATAGATTCTCGTACCAAACCGTATGGCAGGGTCTGTATCCCTGTATGCAGTGAATGCGGGAATGGTTGACTGAATATTGTTTAAAGACGCATTTTCCAGCTTGGAAATGATGATTCTAGCACGACAATGTGTGATACTCGATTCTGATTGGCTGAGAGCTAACGATTTCGCTTTTTAAATTACATTTAGCGGTCTTAAATCAACGATAAAGGACCGCAAAATTGAAAACAGAGTAGCTTTATCTTCTAATTGTATTTCGATTTCAGTGCATCATGTTCTGTTCCAGATCAATGTGACGAAGGACTTTTTCCTGATGTTCTCTGTGTCCGACGAGAACAAGTCATGGTACTTGGACGAGAACATGCGGAGCAGCGGCGTCGACCCTTCCACCGATAAAGATGGCGATGAGTTCGTAGAATCCAACCTGATGCACGGTAAGAGGAACTACATATATATCCCCGTGATGAACGCTCCGTATCGCCATCTCAAGACCGTAAACGAATACTCTCTCCTGATCTGAAAAGCAAAGATATGCAGAGAACGTTAATAGAAAAGTCTTCGCTTTCATCACCGACGATTTTGAAAAGACAAAAGGAGATGAAATATATAGTGCAATTACATATCTGCATGAATGAGTTAGTGAGTGAGTTAAATTGTATAGTCACATTGGCAGTATTTCACTTATATGTTATAAAAAAATAACACAGTGTGCGACTATAAAATCTCTCAAACTAGATTTAAAACTAGGATCAAGTCAGTCAAATATGACTATTTCCACAAGAGAAATATATATAAAGTATAAAGGAAGTATTGCAAGTAGTCACCCTTGAATGTTTTCACAACTTATTGCCCTTTTATTCATTCATTTCTTTCTTATTTCCGTAATTGTTGCAATCCACTGTTTATTGAAAGTTTACCAAATAGAAACTGCATTGTTTCTCCAGGGATCAATGGGCGGCTGTACGGCAATCTGGAAGGCCTTGACATGTGTGTTGGGGGAACGGTCAGATGGCACGTGTTCAGCGTGGGGACAGAGGTTGACCTTCACACTTTGACCTTTAACGGTGACAATTTCATGAATCTCAACAACCAGAAGTCGGCGTCCGATATACTTCCAGGAGACATGAAGACTCTCGACATGATTCCCAAGCACAAGGGTATGTAAGTCTCCATTGATGACTGGAATAGTGAGTGATGTTCCAGATAAGTCCATAACACACGCTGCATTTAAATAGGTTATATCATTGATAATGTATTGCTGTATTTGCTGAGGTTCATGAATGATGTATTGCTGTATTTGCTGAGATTCATGAATGATGTATTGCTGTATTTGCTGAGGTTCACGAATGATGTATTGCTGTATTTGCTGAGGTTCATGGATGTTGTGTTGGTGTATTTGCTGAGGTTAATGAATGATGTATTGCTGTATTTGCTGAGGTTCACGGATGTTGTATTGCTGTATTTGCTGAGGTTCATGAATGATGTATTGCTGTATTTGCTGAGGTTCACGAATGATGTATTGCTGTATTTGCTGAGGTTCATGGATGTTATATTGCTGTATTTGCTGAGGTTCATAAATGTTGTATTGCTGTATTTGCTCAGGTTCATGGGGCCTGGTTTGTAGGACGAACGACCACTACACGGCGGGCACGAAGGCTATTTACAATGTCATGCGCTGTGGAGAAGCTGCTGATGCCGATACGTCACTTCCGGCGGAAGGACAGGTTGTCAAGAAGTTCATCCAAGTAATGGAGATACCATGGGATTACATACCTGATGGAAAGGACGCCATTTACAACGAACCGTTCACAGTGGAAGGAAGGTAAATGAAGATTGTTAGACAGACATGAGGCGGTTATCAATGATTCGTCAGAAAGTTGTTTAATTTTGAACTTCAGTTCTCATAAAAACGACCATTACGAAGCAAAACGTGATCAATGACTCCGGTCTTGTTCTCATAAAGTCATCAAACAATTTGACATGTCCTTATCATACTGACGTAATTCGCTGCTAAATGTAACAAATAATTTAAGTGTAGATTTGGCTTGCTATGTTTTTAACAAACATGCTAAATATGATTATCTCACTATACCTGGCCCATGAGACAGATTCTTTTCCGGAGACAAAACAAGATAAGTATGTTATTCAACAAAATATACAATTTCACACTGATCTTCACAGGGTCATAAAATGCCATTGTGTTATTGAAACGGGCTGAAAGTAAATCTGGTTCTATTTGTTGTATTTCACTTGGGTAATCGTTACATATGTTATGCTGTTATTCACTATTTATTCTGGTCAAGATTCGTCCGTGATTGCTTAATTCATCGTAAGACAGTTTCCTCTACCTTGGCCACGTGAAACCCAGTACGAACCATCTCTCTGACAGGCATAGTGCAAATATAGAACATACGTCAGAATATCTTAGTTTTGACGCAGCAATAATAAAAAAGGACATTCTAACCCCCAAAACGGACACAGTGTTTCTGTTTTCGGAGTATTAGCATAAAGAGACGGTTAAACAGGGGAAATACTATTATTGGACCTTTGAATTTATTTGTTTCAGTCATGGTGCGACCTTTGTGAACGAGGGCGAAACAAGAATAGGAGGCACCTACATCAAGGCTCAGTACCAGGAATACACTGATGACACGTTCAGCATCCCTGTGGTACGTGGAGTTGATGAGGAATACCTGGGGATTCTTGGTCCTGTAATACGACTAGAAGTAGGCGATGTTCTGGATATAGTGTTCAAGAACGGCGCCACGAAGCAAAACTACACAATCAGAGCGCACGGACTTCACTTCAACGGTGACGATGGTACCTTCAGCGCCTCGGATCAGCCGAGTGTTCCACCGATGGGCGTGAGAAGGTTCACTTGGAATGTTACGGAATCTGACGGCCCTGGGCCGAGTGATCCCGAATGTGTAGCTCGTGTTTACTTCTCTGATGTGAACCCGGTCAAGGATGTGAATTCCGGTCTCGTCGGGCCACTGGTTATCTGCAGGAAGGGGAGCTTTAGAACTGGTGAGAGGCAAACGAATCCGGAGGAATGTGGACGCTGATTTCGCCCTGTATTTCTCTGTGATTGATGAAAATGAGAGTTGGTACCTGGATCAGAACATTTTGAATTTTGCCGGGAACGCCTCAGCGGTGAAAAAAGACGACGATGATTTCATTGAAAGTAACCTCATGCACGGTAAGCATGCATGTAAACGTCCATGTACTTGTAACTGGACTGACTGACTGAGTTTGGTTTTACGCCGCTTTTAGCAATATTCCAGCAACCTCACGGCGGGGGACACCAGAAATGGGCTTCACACATTGTGCCCATGTGGGGATTCGAACCCGGGTCTTCGGCGTGACGAGCCAACGCTTTAACCACTAGGCTACCCCACCGCCTCACTTGTAACTGGAGCGAGAAATAGTAGGTTATCGTCTAGAATATGATATCTTGGGTGTTGAGGAGTGGCTATTTTAACAGATCAGGGAGATCTCAGACATTGCCTGGTTAGGTGACATCCTCGAGGTGCTGTGGTGCCGACAGGCCAACCTAACCAGGTTAAACTAGGATTCGAACTACGATCATAGGTCACATTTCAAGGACACAGCTTCGGACAGCGGGAAGCGTCTGAGATGACAGGGGCACACGAGCTCCCCGGGTTTTAACGAGTTGTGAACCGTTGTGATGACGTCACGCTATTGTTTGTACGTTTGTCTCTGAGCCAGGAAATGACTGGTCATTCGTAAAGTGCATTTTCGATGTGTAAACTTGCGACATAACTTCAGGACAGTATGTAACATTATAGAGAAAATATACATTTATCATGTCAGAGATATCTAGATTCGGAATCCGTTTAATGAGAAGTAGATTCAACAGATTGTATGATTTATCCAATTCGGATTACATATGGTAAAATACACGTAGGCTTACCTAGCTGTGTTGTCAGATGGGATCAGTTTCTAATAAGAATCTTTATTAATCAATCAGAGATGCGCTGGGTGAAAACTTACGTGGCATGTTTGAATGTTTCAGCAATCAATGGGTACCTGTACGGCAACCAGAGACCGCCAAAGATGATGGAAGGTCAAACTGTGGACTGGTACCTCTTTGCACTGGGAACAGAGGTGGACATGCATTCAGTGCATTTCCATGGCAACGACATCACAATTTTCGAAGACAAGCCTCATTCCAATGACGTGGCTCAGCTGTTCCCTAGTGTGTTTACCTCGGTGCGGATGCACGCGGTGAAGGTGGGCAAGTGGCTGTACCACTGTCACATCCACGACCATATCCACGCGGGGATGATGGGCGTGTACGAAGTAGAGAAGGATTACTGGAATTCTATTGGAACTTCCTAATAATGCGGCTGAGGGGAATCGGTACGGGATTGTGGCTTTAAGGGGTTGTCATAGTTACAAGGCTTATTTGTGGGGATGGGGAGTGAATCGTAAACTGCCTTTTAAAAATATTCGCAACCTTATCAAATTCTTTGCTTGACAAAATGTGAAATCATATCTAGTTGTTAACCAAATATTGGTTCTTAAATACCAACAGTGACCGAGGTGGTCAATTCAACTCTTCGTTTAGACTGAACGTTCCACACCACTGATCTATGGTGAGGTTCAGTTACTCACATACAGTGTGATTAATAGCCTTACAAGTACGAGCTTTGTAGGGGCGACAGAGCGTCACATCATATTTAAATCCTAAATATCACAAGGCCGAGGTGAAATTATAATATTAGAAGAAGAATTTATTCAGTATAAACAAACCGATAGAAAATATGGAACATTCATCAACGGTTTATGTTTCAAATACTCGTTCCAAGAAGCTCTGGAAGCATACGTAAAATATCTCTGTAAGTGTGTATTATAACCGATTCTTAAACAGACTGAGTATAAATTATCTATCATCCCTGAATCTGTAGGTACTCTCACCGACGAAGCGGGTTCAGTTCTCACATGGGTGCAATGTGTGACGCCCATTTCTGGCGCCCCCTCTACTACTCAACCTTAACATCAATGCAGCTACAATAGATAGTGTAGATATGAGGTTCATGTGGACGTTGCTAAGGTTGTGCTGTATAATGACAGCTGATACGTCCCACAGTCCAATGTTGCTGGGATTTTGGAACAGTTCCCAGTAACCTATGCTGGTGGTAAGCTGCGGCTTACTGGATCCTGGTGTAAAGTTTCACCACTTGGTTGTTTGCATGTCAAAGTGACCCGCCAGCTCGATGCTTGGAGTATCAATCACTATATTGTCAGAGTCCGTTGTGTACAGCCCGCTGTCATACAGTCTGGGTTATTCTGAGTTGTACACAAACACACGGCACCGTTCAGAGCTTTTAGGAAACCGTCGCTCATCGGAAATGTCCTTAGTTCTTTTGTAATAACTAGGCCATTTAAATATGCCAGGAACCATTTTGTTCCCCAGTACAGGTAGCAAACCGTCCGTACAAATGTCTGTTGTATATCTGAATCTTGAGTAACATTATTTCGTAAATGTTTTCGTAATGATGGAGATATTTAGGACAGCCATGATGGGAGTTTCCGTATTGAACATCCCGGTGTCCTTGTCGTGGTGATATTTGTCGAATGTTGAATCTCTACTAATGCCTATGTCCACGTCACTACCCCACTCATGTACCTGTACATGCCTTTTACGCTGTAATACATACATGACAATATACAAAGATCTATTTTTGAATAAAATATTTCTTCATAAATAGGAAAGTGTTGTTTCTGTATTACTACAGACTGTACCATTGTGCAGTTGCAGGACGCATTATACGAGAAGTGAATACAACACTGTGTGACTACAACGAACAGATTGTTTTGACTAATACGTCACTGGCTCAAATCGCACATGCTACATAGCTCTCATAACTGTTCACATTTATGTATATGCTAAACTATCATCAGTGTCGTATGAAACCCTCAGTATCCTCTATATGCCCAATGTGCTTAAGGCATCATGGAGCCTCTACCTGATTATCATGGGTGTCTCTCTCTGGCGGTGCTAAGTATGGGAAGTATGTTTACTGCTTCACGTATCCCCTATCTGGTTCTGTTTGGTGTTTCACGTGTCCCCTATCTGGTTATGTTTGGTGTTTCACGTGTCCTCTCTCTGGTTATGTTTGGTGTTTCACGTGTCCCCTATCTGGTTATGTTTGGTGTTTCACGTGTCCTCTCTCTGGTTATGTTTGGTGTTTCACGTGTCCCCTATTTGGTTAGGTTTGGTGTTTCACGTGTTCCCTATCTGGTTATGTTTTGTGTTTCACGTGTCCCCTATCTGGTTATGTTTGGTGTTTCACGTGTCCCCTATCTGGTTATGTTTGGTGTTTCACGTGTCCCCTATCTGGTTATGTTTGGTGTTTCACGTGTCCCCTATCTGGTTATGTTTGGTGTTTCACGTGTCCCCTATCTGGTTATGTTTGGTGTTTCACGTGTCCCCTATCTGGTTATGTTTGGTGTTTCACGTGTCCTCTATCTGGTTATGTTTGGTGTTTCACGTGTCCCCTATCTGGTTATGATTGCTGTTTCACGTGTCTTCTATCTGGTTATGTTTGGTGTTTCACGTGTCCTCTCTCTGGTTATGTTTGGTGTTTCACGTGTCCCCTATTTGGTTAGGTTTGGTGTTTCACGTGTTCCCTATCTGGTTATGTTTTGTGTTTCACGTGTCCCCTATCTGGTTATGTTTGGTGTTTCACGTGTCCCCTATCTGGTTATGTTTGGTGTTTCACGTGTCCCCTATCTGGTTATGTTTGGTGTTTCACGTGTCCCCTATCTGGTTATGTTTGGTGTTTCACGTTTCACGTGTCCCCTATCTGGTTATGTTTGGTGTTTCACGTGTCCTCTATCTGGTTATGTTTGGTGTTTCACGTGTCCTCTATCTGGTTATGTTTGGTGTTTCACGTGTCCCCTATCATGTTTGATTGCTTTCACGTGTCCCCTATCTGGTTATGTTTGGTGTTTCATCGTGTGGTGTTTCTATCCCCTATCTGGTTATGTTTGGTGTTTTCACGTGTCCCCTATCTGGTTATGTTTGGTGTTTCACGTGTCCTCTATCTGGTTATGTTTGGTGTTTCACGTGTCCCCTATCTGGTTATGTTTGGTGTTTCACGTGTCCCTATCTGGTTATGTTTGGTGTTTCACGTGTCCTCTATCTGGTTATGTTTGGTGTTTCACGTGTCCCCTATCTGGTTATGTTTGGTGTTTCACGTGTCCCCTATCTGGTTATGTTTGGTGTTTCACGTGTCCTCTATCTGGTTATGTTTGATGTTTCACGTGTCACCTATCTGGTTATGTTTGATACTTCACGGGTCCCCTATCTGGTTATGTTTGATACTTCACGTGTCCCCTATCTGGTTATGTTTGATACTTCACGTGTCCCCCTATCTGGTTATGTTTGATACTTCACGTGTCCCCCTATCTGGTTATGTTTGATACTTCACGTGTCCCCTCTCTGGTTATGTTTGATACTTCACGTGTCCCCTCTCTGGTTATGTTTGATACTTCACGTGTCCCCTATCTTGTTATGTTTGATACTTCACGGGTCCCCTATCTGGTTATGTTTGATACTTCAAGGGTCCCCTATCTGGTTATGTTGTTTTCAGTCACTTTGGGGAATCCCTGGTCTTTTTGTCGTGCTTGAATAAACCATTTTTTGATGATCGTCGCTCGTCAGTTTGGAAAAAAAACCGTTGAAAGAAATAATGTATACTAGAAGTATGCAGAGTCTGTTATATCACCCCAATTCTTCGGACCAGCTAGTGAGCCGACATTCACGGCGCGTTGGTTCATAGCTCTCCCTTAGCTCCATGATCCTAATGTCAAGTGACAGCCTTGATTGACAGTAAAGCCAACACGTGACCCAAATGAATTGTTTACCTGTCTCACCTGTATCATCTAAATCCAAACATGTACAAGTTGGAATTACTTCTATGTTCGAACAGTGTAATACTTCTTAACTTGGGAACCGAAAAAGGTAAATGTTACATGTATCAAGGCCAAATTTTCTGAATAATCCCACGTAGGTAAGTTAGTATGTATTTTGATCTGATCTGCTGTGATGTTGTGTGTGATCAGTTGATCTGCTGTAATGTTTTGTGTGATCAGCTGATCTGCTGTGATTGTGTGATCACCTGATCTGCTGTGATGTTGTGTGTGATCACCTGATCTGCTGTGATGCTGTGTGTGATCAGTTGATCTGTGATGCTGTGTGTGATCACCTGATCTGTGATGCTGTGTGTGATCACCTGATCTGAGGTAGATGTTGTGTGTGATCACCTGTGATGTTGTGTGTGATCACCTGATCTGAGGTAGATGTTGTGTGTGATCACCTGTGATGTTGTGTGTGATCAGCTGATCTGAGGTAGATGTTGTGTGTGATCAGCTGTGATGTTGTGTGTGATCGGCTGATCTGCTATGGTGTTGTGTGTGATCAGCTGTGATGTTGTGTGTGATCAGCTGATCTGCTATGGTGTTGTGTGTGATCAGCTGTGATGTTGTGTGTGATCAGCTGATCTGCTATGGTGTTGTGTGTGATCAGCTGTGATGTTGTGTGTGATCAGCTGATCTGCTATGGTGTTGTGTGTGATCCGCTGTGATGGTGTGTGTGATCAGCTGATCTGCTATGGTGTTGTGTGTGATCCGCTGTGATGTTGTGTGTGATCAGCTGATCTGCTATGGTGTTGTGTGTGATCAGCTGTGATGCTGTGTGTGATAAGGTGTGACGTTGTTGCTCATGTGTCCTTGATCTTTATCATCCTTTCTTCTCATTCCGTCAAACACTTATTCAATATTTTGAGTGGACACGTTGCTGATATAAAACTCCAGCCCAATATTCTTTTCACATGTTTAGTTACTTTGAACTAGTATATTGTTTAGAGAGGACCTACAGGTTATAAAGTATGTGGTGTTGCCTTTATGTAAGTAACTATGTTATTATGTAAATGACAGCGTCTGACTAAATGACGTCATCACGGCGTCCTGCTTCAGTGCAGTCATGTCGACCAGGTGTATTCTCGGTGTGTTGTTGATGCTGGCAACGTCCTGTGACGGCGTGGACAGACACTACTACATCGGGTGTGTGGAGATCCTTTGGGACTATGCGCCATCGGGGGACCTCGTGACGCCCACCAGGTCAGTACTTGTGCACTAGGAATTTCAGTGTAAACATTATCACGTAAACCATATTACTGATGTATCATGTTATGTGAATTGCCGGTGAATGTACCTGAGCGCTTCATCTGTCAGTGAATGTACCCTACTGTTTCGCCAATCCGTGAACGTATTCAACTGTTTCACCTGCCAGTTAGAGTGCCCGATTGTTTCAGTCGCCAGCGAATGTACCCTACTGTTTCACCCGTCGGTGAATGTACCCTACTGTTTCACCCGTCGGTGCATGTACCCTACTGTTTCACCTGTAGGTGAATGTTCCCTACTGTTTCACCCGTCGGTGAATGTACCCTACTGTTTCACCCGTCGGTGAATGTACCCTACTGTTTCACCCGTCGGTGAATGTACCCTACTGTTTCACCCGTCGGTGAATGTACCCTACTGTTTCACCCGTCGGTGAATGTACCCTAGTGTTTCACCTGTAGGTGAATGTACCCTACTGTTTCACCCGTCGGTGAATGTACCCTACTGTTTCACCTGTAGGTGAATGTACCCTACTGTTTCACCCGTCGGTGAATGTACCCGACCGTTTCACCTGTAGGTGAATGTACCCTACTGTTTCACCTGTCAGTGCATGTACCCAACTGTTTCACATTTTAGAAGATGTACAAAACTGTTTCACCTGTAGGTGAATGTACCCAACTGTTTCACCTGCCAGTGAATGTACCCAACTGTTTCACCTGCTAGTGAGTGAGTGAGTTAATATTTATCGTCACATCGGCGATATTTCAGCCATATCGTGACGAGAACATTTTATAATTATATTAAAGATGAATACAGTTATAAATTAAAAAACCTGTTGACGAAGAACAGTAAAACTACTAGTGTATCACACATATCCATTTAAAACCAGCAATTAAATCTAAAATATTGGAACTATAAATGACAATACAATATAAAAAAAGGCTGTTGATTGCTAACTACTGAAGGTAGATCACCATACTAGGGAACATGGGGATTTACAGTGCATTTGCTTCCTGCATGGACCCTAGCTGGATTTACACCATCCCTTCAGCTGTCAGCAAGTTTAGACAATTTAGCCATAAGTTAAAATAACACATATTCTACGCTTAAAAATAATGGTATGTTTAAATTTACTTTGAATGTTTTGGGACTTACGTACCCCCACAGGAGGACAATAATTTTACAATGCTTCAACCATCTGTGAGGATACAGCCACTAACAATCTCAGCTGCTCAACTAAACTACCAATTTTAAAATATTTATCTATTTACAATTCATTCAACAAATCGAATTCTTTTAAAAATGCAAGAACTAAATGAGAACTGATATTATTAAAAAGATCCTTCATCGTTCGGGATTTGAAATAGTTATCTCTTGTGATGGAATATTCAACACAGTCAAGCAGAACATGCTTGACCGTGATTCTTTCATCACAAGGGATACTAAACAGAGGATCCTCACCTTTTAACAGGTATGCATGAGTATGACCTCTTCAAATCTGGACTGACAACCCAAGTAGGTATAACCAACATAAGGTTTTATTGCATGTAATTTATTAAGTCCCACTTGAGTGTCCCACTTCTTCTGCATCAGATCGCGGAGATAACATCTGATGACTGCTTTGTAATCAGAGTATGGAATAAGAAGTGGTGTCACAGATTTGTTGAGTGCTGCCTTGGCAGCAAGATCGGCCATTGTGTTCCCAGAAATGCCAACATGGCTGGGTAACCAACAAAAGACGATGTCGTATTGGCCAGTAGCAAGATCATTATATAATTCGATTATTTCAATTAAAAGTGGATGTTTGCAAGATAATTTTTTAATAGCCTGAAGGCAAGTAAGAGAGTCAGAAAAGATTATATATTGTTTATGTTTAGGATGTCTTTGAATATATTTAAGAGCTGTTAAGATGGCGTTTGCTTCTGCTGTAAATATAGAGCTGTTATCCGGTATTCTAGAAGATATTGTTCTGGATCCAATGACAGTGGCACATGCCACTGCACCACCGTCCTTGGACCCATCTGTAAATAACTTCACCTGCTAGTGCATATTCATGACCGTTTCACCTTTCAGTTAATGTACCCGACTGTTTCATCTGTTCATAAGAGTACCTGTCTGATGCCCCTTTCTGTGTATGTACCCAACTGTTTCACCTTTGGGTTTTCCGGTTTCACCTTTCAGTGTACCTGTCGGTTTCACTGTCAGTGAGTGTACCCCAATGTTTCTTCTGTCAATGTGTTTTCCTGTTTCACCTGCCAGTAAGGGCACCTGTCAGTTTCGTCAATGATTATAGAAGGGTACCCACACCCCTTTATTAGTCACAGAAAATATACAGGGTATTATCATGGATATTGTGATGGTTTCAAGATTCAACATCACCAGCCCATCCAGCCAGTACCTGAACCAGGGCCACCACCGGCTGGGACGGGTGTACAAGAAGGCGGTGTACAAACAGTACACAGATGCCACATATTCGGTAGAGATAGAGAAGCCCAAGTGGCTGGGATTCCTTGGCCCCATCCTGAAGGGAGAGGAAGGAGACACGCTCCTGCTGCACTTCAAGAACTTCGCCTCCCAGAGGTACTCCATGCATCCTCACGGTCTGTTGTACGACAAGGCGAGTGAAGGTGAGCTTTCGTGCATCTACTCATTGAAATTACTATTGCGTCCTGCTTCGATGTGTTTTGTTAAATTTAATGAAAATGTCTTCCTGTAAATATGCTGGGTTGATTAAGGTCCGAAGCATGTTAGGCTGTCTGTTGGACTGGCAGGTTGTCCGACCCGATGGTTAATTGTGTTCTTAGCGCAAAGTGGGGTGGATCGCTGTCATAATATCGACCACTTGATTGGCTGGCCCACTTAATTCTTGTAACCAGCTGCATAATGGAATCCATACATCAAATGATTAACTATTATGGAACAGAGATAAATGTGAAATTAAGGGGAACGTAAGTGTAAATATAAATATACAAAGTGTTCATGCGCACTCGTACAAACTTCGTGCTGAACATGAACGACGATAGCAAACACATTACGACTATGTGACGTAACGTAGAAGGAAGCCTGTAAAGTAGCTTTTTCGACAAAAATAATACTTGCAATGGAGAATAAATCTGTTAAACCAGCTCGCGAAAATACTTATATAACATTTCGGAGCGGAGAACATTACCTTCATCCGACTATCGAACTTGGCTGACAACGTCTATATTGTCTGGAATATATACCATCCTACATATTATACCCTGCAACAACATGTGAATGTATGCTGTACTATATAAGTGTATCTTGAGTGATATGTCTCTCAGTAGACAGAATAAGTTTATTCTTTTCTTCATACCATATTTCCTGATAAATATTTAAACATGTTAAACTAGACAACTGATTTGAAGTTCTTCTTGCATTGATAAGGACGCCTAAACATGAAAACTAATGTGAAATGTAAATTTGAAAGAGTGAGTGCATTAGTACTGGAGACAATGACTGTAAGGTTGTTTTCTGTGATGCTGGCGGATGTCAGGTGTTTTAATGAAGGTTGTGACAGGCTTGTTCACAGTTCTTGACTTTGCCTTGAATCTCTGTTTTCATCATGCATATTCAACAGGGTTGCTACTAGTTTGCGACCGTTGCTTGAGCTCTGACAGAACTTATGCAATGACGTGATTGCGTCTAATTCAGTTGTCTTGGCTATAATATATGTGTATCAACGTTTGGCTTTTGGTCACCAATAAAATGTCTTATGAAACTGTACTCATGAAAACTATAATTGTAATTAACATGCTGATGTAAGACATCTTCTCATAGATACCCAACATTTGGAGAAATATAATTAGAGATGATTGACTGACTGAGTTTGGTTTTACGCCGCTTTTAGCAATATTCCAGCAACATCACGGCGGGGGACACCAGAAATGGGCTTCACACATTGTGCCCATATGGGGATTCAAACCCGGGTCTTCGGCGTGACGAGCCGAACGCTTTAACCATTAGGCTACCCCACCGCCCCAATTAGAGATGAAGTCGAATAAATACTTTGTATTACAACCGCCACCAGGTATTCAGGTTAAACTTAGTGGAAATCTTTTGAATAGGGTCATACGACTCTTGCTCACGTGCGGTTTAGTAAAGCTTCAAATGACTTTCATTTGCCAATTTTGATTTGGCAACAGTTGCCTTGCCTTGAATGTGTTTGTGACACAGATGGAGTTATGGTGTAGGATGCTCTCACCAACACCCGGTGTCAGCATGTTTAAAGTGTTTCACAAACTAATGTTCATGAAGAAGTGAGTGAGTGAGTAAGTGAGTTAAAATTTAACGTCACATCGGCAATATTTCAGCCATATCGTGACGAGAATAATTAATTTTATACATAGTAAGTAATGGTAAACTGTAAAAACCTGTCAACGAAGGACAGTAAAATAGCTAGATTATCACAGATTCGAATTTAAAACTAGTAATTAAATCTAAAACATTTCAACTATAGGGGACAGTACAATATAAAAATAGGCTATAGATCGCCAACAACTGAAGGTAGATCACCATACTAGGGACCATGGGGACTTACAGTACCTTTGCTACCTGCATGGATCCTAGTTGGATTTACACCCTCCCTTCAGCCATTGGTGATAGAAGAGAAATCTACCAATAAATTAAAAGCACACATATTCTACGATTAAAAAGGTGGCAAGTTTAAATTTACTTTAAATGTGTTGGGACTTACGTACCCTCTCAGGAGGACAATAATTTTATGCTACTTCAACCCCCTTTGAGGGTACAGCCATCATGAAGAAGTGGGAACGTACGATGGACTCTTCTTTCAGCAGATCTTTCTGGAATACGTTTTGTTGCTGGTATTTACACCAAGGGTATATGTACACCAAGGGTATATGTGGTATATTACACCAAGGGTATATGTACACGGCATGTTGCATGTTGTTCGCCTCACACCTGCAGGTGCTAAATACCACGATGGCTACCATAACCTGACCTCGGATGACCTTGTGTGGCCGGGGGGCTCCCACACCTATCGCTGGGAGATCAACAAACAGGCGAGCCCCAGCCCTCACAGTCCCGGCTGTATATCCTGGATCTATCACTCCCACGTCGTTCCCACCAACGACACCAACGCCGGCCTCGTCGGATTCATCTACGCCTGCAAACCAGGTCGGTTCAGACTTCCTAGATCAAAATAGAAATATCTTATAATTCAACGTCTTTAGCCAGCAATCATACTGACTGACTGACTGACTGAATTTGGTTTTACGCCGCTTTTAGCAATATTCCAGCAACATCACGGCGGGGGACACCAGAAAATGGGTTTCACACATTGTACCCATGTAGGGATTCGAACTCGTGTCTTAGGCGTGACGAGCCAACGCTTTAACCATTAGGCTACCCCACCGCCCCTGCAATCATACGATCATAACCAAATTGTAGTGGTCGGTTGATTTTAGTAACTTTGCAAGACAGGTATATTTGATATTGGCATAGACAGTATAAAGGTGGGCATTGCGGTCACCCCCGAATCTTAACAGTACACTACTACTCAAAAGAGCATTACTCAAGAACACATTGATACAGATTTCTGTCCAAACGCTTGAATCCTATCATAATCCAAGACTCCATACCACGTACTTCTCTGAAGAGTCTTTAATCATAATCATGAAGAGTCTTTAATCATAATCATAATGGTTATAAGTCGTCAATGGTGCGAATCGGAACTTATGCTAGTTCCTCAGTTTGTTTAAAGGCAGTGAAAAATTAGGATTAACGCTGATTATGACATACATCTACATTCACTCACTGTTTGACACCTGGACAGGCATCCTAAACAAGACGTCGAGTCGACGCCAATACGCCATCTACGCCAGTCAGATGGATGAGAACAGAAGCTGGTACATGCAGGACAACCTCCACATGTTCGGCGGCAACGCCAGCACCGTCAACAACGTCAACATCAGGGACGGCCGATTCAGACGCTGGAACATAATGTCAGCTCTAAATGGTTATGTATACGGCAACCTGCCCGGCCTTGACGCCTGTGTTGGGGAAACGGTCACTTTCCATTTTGCTGCCATGGGTCACGCCAAGGACATGCACCAGCTGATCATCAGCGGCCATTCTTTCAAACAGTTTGGTCACGTGTAAGTGTAAATCGTGCAAAATCGAAATCGAAATTTGCGCCTTAGTTGAAAATCGCAAAAGGGGTATTTTCTGAAGTGTGTGACACAAATTTGAATATGAAGATTAAGGATTATTCCGTCTCGAACCATATTTTTCACCTGTTCATGTAAATCACACCCTCGTTCCACAAACGGTTTTGTAAAAAGTGAACTATGCTCGTTTTAAGACGAAAACGTATTGATATTTTGAAGTTACTAAATATATTTTTGACGCAAGTTTACACTGGACATAAGGAAATATTTACTTCACTATAGAAGAAGAAGAATTTATTTCGGTATATAGGCCATTGGCCCGTGTACAATAAATGCAAAGTGGTATATGATATATAGACAATATGGTTTCAACATATACATAGGTATATATATATACATGAAAACCTTACTTCACTATATATTGATTTAAGTGAATCACTTTAAGAAATATATGAAACATTTCAGTTTAGTACAACAGATTCCCTTTCTAATGTAGTTCTTTTGCTTTTACCGCGTTTGAAGTAAATTTCAAACAGACTTTCTTTCAATAGCGTCAACAAATCATTGACAACTCTGCCGCCACAGAGCTGACATTGCGTTGTGGGATCTCGCCTTTTTATTGTTTTCTTTACTGAATATTTATGACACCGGAACACATTACTCCTTCTCTGTCATGGTAATAGCTTTATGTTGCATACTGAATAATAACAGACATATTCAGATCGGAGTAAGTGGATCGGACCGTACTTTGAACTTTATTATATCGCCGAGTCAATATAACATTGGTGACAAGAAGGCATCAGAGGTATTGAGGCGACACCATTATATTGGACATCTCTACTTCACTAGTTTTATATATCCCGAGTATCTAGGATATAGTTTATCTTTAACAAAACAAAGTTAATAGCATGTGTAGATTCTCGGGATATATAAAACTGTTGACAAGAAACGTGTACGTTTGTGAGTGAGTGAGTGAGTGAGTGAGTGAGTGAGATGCATTAAATATCCTAATGGTGTGGGGAATCGATCCCAGTCCTTCAACCATTAGGGTACCCCACTGCCTGGTATATATACATCAGTTGTGAATTTCAAACAGATACGTTTCACCAAACTAGAAAACGATATAAATGTATCGTAATATGTAGTTAGATGCTCATAATTTCCATGTTTTCTGATATCATGAATGATGACAGTGGACAGCTGTTATCGATGTAACCCCTAGTGTGCAGTACACAACCCTGAGCACGTAAAAGAGCCAACTCATTCGATGGTAGGTGACCAGATGGTGGACACACGGACACGTGCAGACACCTAGTTGCAGGTATAGCAATGTGAAGTATCATTGGAGAAAATACTGTGACTATGTGTCCCAGTTCACCCAGCTGCAAATGGGTACCTTGTAAGGATGAGGCTGTGTGATAACTCGCTGCGCTTAACAGGCTGCATGAGTTAAATAGTCTCCAGGGAGCTGAGTTGGTTAAAGCATTGTCAGGAAAAAGACATCCGTTGTTCAAGGGAACACGCCAGCGCCTTGAGCAGTTACTAGTTGCGTGGATATGTGCGCTATATCAATATCCTATATTAATAATAATAATGTATATAAGACTGAGTCATCCTGTGGGTTTCAGCCGCAACAGCATCAGCCTGGAGGTGGCCCAGTTCGCCACAGTGACGGTCAAGGCTCTGTCCGTGGGACGATGGCTGTTGTATGATGAAGTGATGAGCAACTATGTGGGTGAGTAATATAAGCTGCTGTATGATGAAGTGATGAGCAACTATGTGGGTGAGTAATATAAGCTGCTGTATGATGAAGTGATGAGCAACTATGTGGGTGAGTAATATAAGCTGCTGTATGATGAAGTGATGAGCAACTATGTGGGTGAGTAATATAAGCTGCTGTATGATGAAGTGATGAACAACTATGTGGGTGAGTAATATAAGCTGCTGTATGATGAAGTGATGAGCAACTATGTGGGTGAGTAATATAAGCTGCTGTATGATGAAGTGATGAGCAACTATGTGGGTGAGTAATATAAGCTGCTGTATGATGAAGTAATGAGCAACTATGTGGGTGAGTAATATAAGCTGCTGTATGATGAAGTGATGAGCAACTATGTGGGCGAGTAATATAAGCTGCTGTATGATGAAGTGATGAGCAACTATGTGGGTGAGTAATATAAGCTGCTGTATGATGAAGTGATGAGCAACTATGTGGGTGAGTAATATAAGCTGCTGTATGATGAAGTGATGAGCAACTATGTGGGTGAGTAATATAAGCTGCTGTATGATGAAGTGATGAGCAACTATGTGGGTGAGTAATATAAGCTGCTGTATGATGAAGTGATGAGCAACTATGTGGGTGAGTAATATAAGCTGCTGTATGATGAAGTGATGAGCAACTATGTGGGTGAGTAATATAAGCTGCTGTAATATAAGCTGCTGTATGATGAAGTGATGAGCAACTATGTGGGTGAGTAATATAAGCTGCTGTATGATGAAGTGATGAGCAACTATGTGGGTGAGTAATATAAGCTGCTGTATGATGAAGTGATGATGAGTAATATAAGCTGCTGTATGATGAAGTGATGGCAACTATGTGGGTGAATAATATAAGCTGCTGTATGATGAAGTGATGAGCAACTATGTGGGTGAGTAATATAAGCTGCTGTATGATGAAGTGATGAGCAACTATGTGGGTGAGTAATATAAGCTGCTGTATGATGAAGTGATGAGCAACTATGTGGGTGAAGTAATATAAGCTGCTGTATGATGAAGTGATGAGCAACTATGTGGGTGAGTAATATAAGCTGCTGTATGATGAAGTGATGAGCAACTATGTGGGTGAGTAATATAAGCTGCTGTATGATGAAGTGATGAGCAACTATGTGGGTGAGTAATATAAGCTGCTGTATGATGAAGTGATGAGCAACTATGTGGGTGAATAATATAAGCTGCTGTATGATGAAGTGATGAGCAACTATGTGGGTGAGTAATATAAGCTGCTGTATGATGAAGTGATGAACAACTATGTGGGTGAGTAATATAAGCTGCTGTATGATGAAGTGATGAGCAACTATGTGGGTGAGTAATATAAGCTGCTGTATGATGAAGTGATGAGCAACTATGTGGGTGAGTAATATAAGCTGCTGTATGATGAAGTGATGAGCAACTATGTGGGTGAGTAATATAAGCTGCTGTATGATGAAGTGATGAGCAACTGTATGTGGGTGAAGTAATATAAGCTGCTGTATGATGAAGTGATGAGCAACTATGTGGGTGAATAATATAAGCTGCTGTATGATGAAGTGATGAGCAATGAGCAACTATGTGATGGTGAGTAATATAAGCTGCTGTATGATGAAGTGATGAGCAACTATGTGGGTGAGTAATATAAGCTGCTGTATGATGAAGTGATGAGCAACTATGTGGGTGAGTAATATAAGCTGCTGTATGATGTATGATGAGATGTGGGTGAGTAATATAAGCTGCTGTATGATGATGAACAACTATGTTGCGCAACTATGTGCTGCTGGTGATGAGATGTGGGTGAATATCAGCTGCTGTATGATGAAGTGATGAGCAACTATGTGCTGGGTGAATAATATAAGCTGCTGTATGATGAAGTGATGAGCAATTATGTGGGTGAGTAATATAAGCTGCTGTATGATGAAGTGATGAGCAACTATGTGGGTGAGTAATATAAGCTGCTGTATGATGAAGTGATGAGCAACTATGTGGGTGAGTAATATAAGCTGCTGTATGATGAAGTGATGAGCAACTATGTGGGTGAGTAATATAAGCTGCTGTAATATGAAGATGATGAGCAACTATGTGGGTGAGTAATATGCTGTATGTATGATGAAGTGATGAGCAACTATGTGGGTGAATAATATAAGCTGCTGTATGATGAAGTGATGAGCAACTATGTGGGTGAGTAATATAAGCTGCTGTATGATGAAGTGATGAGCAACTATGTGGGTGAGTAATATAAGCTGCTGTATGATGAGCAACTATGTAATATAAGCTGCTGTAATATAAGCTGCTGTATGATGAAGTGATGAGCAACTATGTGGGTGAGTAATATAAGCTGCTGTATGATGAAGTGATGAGCAAGTATGTGGGTGAGTAATATAAGCTGCTGTATGATGAAGTGATGAGCAACTATGTGGGTGAGTAATATAAGCTGCTGTATGATGAAGGTGATGAGCAACTATGTGGGTGAGTAATATAAGCTGCTGTATGATGAAGTGATGAGCAACTATGTGGGTGAGTAATATAAGCTGCTGTATGATGAAGTGATGAGCAACTATGTGGGTGAGTAATATAAGCTGCTGTATGATGAAGTGATGAGCAACTATGTGGGTGAGTAATATAAGCTGCTGTATGATGAAGTGATGAGCAACTATGTGGGTGAGTAATATAAGCTGCTGTATGATGAAGTGATGAGCAATTATGTGGGTGAGTAATATAAGCTGCTGTATTATGAAGTGATGAGCAAGTATGTGGGTGAGTAACATAAGCTGCTGTATGATGAAGTGATGAGCAGCTATGTGGGTGAGTAATATAAGCTGCTTAATGATGAAGTGATGAGCAACTATGTCGGTGAGTAATATAAGCTGCTGTATGATGAAGTGATGAGCAACTATGTGGGTGAGTAATATAAGCTGTTGTATGATGAAGTGATGAGCAACTATGTGGGTGAGTAATATAAGCTGCTGTATGATGAAGTGATGAGCAACTATGTGGGTGATTAATATATGCAGTAAGCGGGGTCGGAGAGGGGACGTGAGTTGAGACGCTGGCTGCTTATGATAATACCCGTGTCATGTGAAGAACCCCGCTTCACAAAAACCTGTTAGCGCTTTGATCCCATCAGGACTTCGCAATAACGCCTGTTATATATGTTGACCATTGCTGGTTGCTGCATAAACACAACAGACACAAACAACGTAAACGACCACCAGGTAAACAAAGGTTGCTGAAAGTTCCTAACATCTGATCTGATCCATCTCTAACCTGGAACCTGAAACTGATGGAATGAAAAATAATCATATCCAATACTTAGTTTTTAGAATCATTAACCATAACTAAAGGCTAACGAACACTTCGTGTCTTCAGTGATTCTGATACGTATTCATAGATATATGTCACTTATCGCTATTCAGCCTTTTACGTGGAATGGAACCTGTTTCGGCAGAAAATCCACATTGATTATTCAATGGCGTTTAGTTTTAAAATCCCATGTCATTTCCAGTCGCCCAAACAGTATATTTGTCACATTTTGTTATATTCGGATGGTTATAATGAGCTTGATGTGTGTAAGTCTGGATAACTCAGCTTCACATGACAGATCGGCTGTTCTCAAATCTTACAGTGCTTGTACTTCCCTATACTTCACACGTACTTCTGGCTGCAAGTAACACGAGAAGCTGTTGTGTATAATCCTGTCATGTCATCACGACTCTTCCAGGTGGTATGACCGCTTTCTTCAATGTCGGAACATGTACCCACTTCCGGCCTAAATCCAAGATGGCGCCACCTCGAAATGTCCGGCGCTTCTATATAGCTGCAGAGGAGATTCTATGGAATTATGCTCCGTCTCACAGAAACAAGTTCGAAGGGGACTTTACTACATGGGTAAATATCTTGACGAATATTACGGTCCTCAAACGAGGAAGATAATCCTGTGAAATAACGGGAGCACAACATGTAATATTGTCAGACTGAGTTTATTTAATGTCGAAGTGTTTCCGTACTCTCCTTCCTGACCTACTTGATTGTTCCAGTGTAAAAATCTAACAAAACTGAAAGGAAGGAAATAAAATCTTCAATCTTTGAAACACGTGTTTTGGACACACAGATCCGTTGACTGACATATTGTGTATAGTTCATGGCATTGAAAATCTTTATTTTTGACAAATATGAATGTTTGGCTTTGACGAATTGTCTCACTACTGTTGATCCCAAGAGTATGGCCGTGTTATTAAAAGTGGAAAGGGAATAGTTTACGACTTCGGAAATCGTGACAGAAAGGACATTTAGTATAGAGAGAGTGTGATAATCACAAGTAATCTAAAGTTTTCAGTTTCTTATAGGTGTTTATTTTTCTTTCCTAGGATGTCTAAAACCTATTTCGAGAAAAGCCGTAAGAGGATCGGCGGCACATACAAGAAGGCCGTGTTCACTGGGTATACTGACAAATCCTTCAAAATACAGAAACAGCGGTCATCGGATGAAGAACATCTTGGTTTCCTCGGTCCTGTCATCAAAGCTGAAGTAGGGGACGCCATTGAGGTGCACTTCCTGAACCGAGCGAGTCGGCCATACTCGATACACCCACACGGTGTGCAGTGTGACAAGGATAACGAGGGGCTGTTGTACAACGACAACCATCCAGGTACGGTGTGTGAATACGTTGTGTTAGTAAGACAGGAATACGTTGTGTCAGTAAGACAGGAATACGTTGTGTCAGTAAGACAGGAATACGTTGTGTCAGTAAGACAGGAATACGTTGTGTCAGTAAGACAGGAATACGTTGTGTCAGTAAGACAGGAATACGTTGTTTCAGTAACACAGGAATAAGAATACGTTTTGTCAGTCATATAGGAATACGCTGTATGAGTAATACCTGAATATGAATACGTTGTGTCAGTAATACAGAAATACGCTGTGTAAGTAACAGGAATGTGCTATGTCAGTGTTATTGAAATAACAAGCAGGGGGACAAAAGAATGTGGACCGAATATACAGAAATAACAGATGAAACCGTGGAAATGTTGCTGTAATTAGCTGCAGACAAAGTAATTTTGTTGATTTGCAAAGAAAAGATGTTTCAGATACAGTTAAATATTATGCGAAAATGAACAAATATTCAGATCAAATATTTTGAAAAAGAGAAACATACAGCCACAAAGGCTTGTAAACAAACCAGACAATCAAGTCCTATAACCATGATTTATTGTAGTATAAATTAGCTATACATTTGCTCACAGTCTGGTCTTAATGTCCGTTTGTAAATTATTTGAGTAATGGTATATGCCTCAAAGAGTCTAGTATCGTGGTGTCCAACACTTGCCTCATGTTCTAATGACCACGTCTGACAGAGACGTCCAAGAGGTTAATCACGCCGGGACAAGTACGGACGTACTACTGGGAGGTTCCGGAAGACCTCGGACCAGAGAGGGACGACCCTAACTGCGTGATCCGTGTCTACACGTCCGGCACCGACATCAGCCACGACATCTACAGCGGACTGGTGGGACCCCTTGTCATCTGCAGAAAAGGAGAAATACAGAAGGTATGAAGACGAATGAAATGAAGAATGGAAAGCTGAGGGCTGGTGAACGAAGGCTGGTGGAATGGGATTGTCACTTTCAAGAATATTGAACTTACATAGCAGCATTCATGCATTCAGGAACTCGTGATGGCGCGAAAAGAGACGGTATTGATTTGCGACATTTGTCTCCAAAACTCCCGGTTCAATGTACATCCCTCTCAACATATCTTAAAAAAATATTAACCTTCGAGACAAAAGAAAGTTTACCGAGTTTTGCTTTATCTAATAGAAGATCGAAAAAAACTACTATTGTTAAATATGTACGTCTATTTACCCATAACTCATTCGTGATACAGTTTGTGAAATTATTCTGTGATGTTTTTTGAAGAATAAATTGATTCGAAGAAAAAATGAATTTGCAAATTCATGATCCCTACAATGTTTTCAAAGTAAACTTAATGTAATTTTATTGATTTTCAAAGATAAAATTTGAAAGACATCCAACAGCAGTTGAGTAATGTGTCTCTTTTTTTGTCTAATTGTAGAAAGTTGTAAATTACAACACATTCTAAAGAACTAACCAATTCAAGTTCCGAGCTATCAGACTTAGAATATTCGAGACAGCAATGAAAACATGGGATAAACTCAACTGAGACTATGGATTCCTCTGCTTCTCAGTTTATACAGATAATTCCCATAACCGATTACGATACACTCAAAAACTATCAGTGTTCAGTAAATGTGCAATGGCTTTGTGGAACATCATATATCTTTGGGGAACATCATATATCTTTGGTGAACATCATATATCTTTGGGAAATATCATATATCTTTGGTGAACATCATATATCTTTGTGGAACATCATATATCTTTGGGGAACATCATATATCTTTGGTGAACATCATATATCTTTGGGGAACATCATATATCTTTGGTGAACATCATATATCTTTGGGAAATATCATATATCTTTGGGGAACATCATATATATATGCCTGTATCCAGGAAACAGCGCTTTACGAGTTATCCTTTCCCCTCTGTTCCAGAGAACAGTAGATCGTGAAATCTTCCTCTACTTCTCCATAGTGGACGAGAACTTCTCCTGGTACTTGGAAGACAGCATTAAGCTGGCGAAGGTCGACCACAAAGTAAACAGATCGGACACACAGTTCTTGGAGTCCAACAAGATGGCCAGTAAGTCAGTAATGGGGGCACAGCATGTATCTCGACAGGGTGTCATGGGGCCTGGGCAATGGTCTAACCATCAATCTTCGTGTTCCAGGTGTTCATTTCAAATGAATGACTTGTCAGGAAAAACACATTCTTTGTCATGCGAACCATTGTCTGAAACTGCGGGAAGGCCAGAACATGCTTGCCTTTTTAGCGAACACCCGGTGTCCACACTGGATTTCAGTGATCCATTCACTCATTTTTCACTAATATGCCTTTTAGGTCAAATGTTGTTGATCCGGTTATTCGCTTGCATGGGAGCTCTAAATATATTGCATGATCATCATTGACAACGCGTACGTGTGTGTGTGCTGAGTTTATTGCACCTATCCCTGACAGTAAATAGCCAGCTCGAATTTTTCTAACTGACGGAATGTCTCGCCATGCTCCTGGAACCAGTTTATAACAGCAACTCATGGTCACAGTTCTGGGTTATATGTCACCCTGACCCTATGACCGGAAAGGGTGTTCACACTATTAACCACTTTAGTCAGTCTGGTGCTCACTCAGTTGTCATGGAAACACGGAAAGGTTGTAACAATATTATGCTGTGAAACCATAGTCTTCATGACGGCTATTTTCCCTGTATATGTTCGGGAACTATTGAACCATTGCTCTACAGGTATAAACGGCTATATGTACGGGAACCTGCCCGGCCTGTGGATGTGTAGAGGGGACGTGATCCGCTGGTACGCCTTCAACCTGGGTTCGGATCTGGATCTCCATACTCTGTATATCCATGGCAACATGTTCGAGAACCACCACCAGCACAAACTGTCTACAGGGATGATATCCGGGGCTCTCAAGACTCTCATCATGGCGCCCAGGAACATAGGTATGGGGAACTCCGTCACAATAGCTATTCGGATTAATGCGCAGTTCGTTTGTATTCTGTACCACGTGATATATTCAATGGCGGATGGCATTCAGTGGGATACCGGGTAGGAATAATTTCCCAGTAACAAAAGCCTGTCGTAGGTGGAGATTAAATGAATACTGTTGCCTGCCTCAGTGGCTTGGTAGATTGCGTGTCAAGGTGTCCCGATGGGAGGAAGTGCGCTCATACTATCGACCACAGGTTTGCCTGGTCCAAATACATTTCACAGGTCGCAGTTATTTCATGTTATATGGGTTGCTTATTACTGGTAAGAGGCGATTAACGGGAGAGGGTGGTCAGGCTTGCTGACTTGGTTGACACATGGCATCGTATCCCAATTGCGTAGATCGATGGTCATGATGTTGATCACTGGATTGTCTGGTCCAGACTCGATTATTTGCAGACCGTAATATAGCTGGAATACTGGTGAGTGCGGCGTTAAACAACAACCAACCAACTAAACAGCTTATTATTGAATGTAGCATCATGCAACTGTGGACCAAAACAATATAAAAAGATGATGTGTTGTATCATGATCACTGATGTGAAACCGAATTATCCTCTCCTCGGGTACCGTTACAAGGTACTTGTCATTAGAGTAGAAGTGCAGGGTGAATGGAAGTAGAAACATAATGCTATGTTTGGTAACCCAACTGTTCCAGGCACGTGGGGTTTACAGTGCCACTCCAACGACCACTTCTTGAAGGGGATGACTGCCATGTACCAGGTCCGGGATTGCCCCTTCAGATCCCCCACCCCCTCCCAACGAGTCCGCGGGGGTCAGGAGAGGGTCTTCTACATACAGGCGGAGGAACACGTGTGGGACTACACCCCACACCACATGGACGTGGTGCAGGGGGTTCCATTCATCACTCCTGACAGGTGAGACGTGGTACAGGGGTTGCCATTCATCACTCCTGACAGGTGAGACGTGGTACAGGGGTGCCATTCATCACTCCTGACAGGTGAGACGTGGTACAGGGGTGCCATTCATCACTCCTGACAGGTGAGACGTGGTACAGGGGTGCCATTCATCACTCCTGACAGGTGAGACGTGGTACAGGGGTTGCCATTCATCACTCCTGACAGGTGAGACGCGGAACAGGAGTGCCATTCATCACTCCTGACAGGTGAGACGCGGAACAGGAGTGCCATTCATCACTCCTGACAGGTGAGACGTGGTACAGGGGTGCCATTCATCACTCCTGACAGGTGAGACGTGGTACAGGGGTTGCCATTCATCACTCTGACAGGTGAGACGTGGTACAGGGTTGCCATTCATCACTTCTGACAGGTGAGACGTGGTACAGGGGTGCCATTCATCACTCCTGACAGGTGAGATGTGGTACAGGGGTTGCCATTCATCACTCCTGACAGGTGAGACGTGGTACAGGGGTTGCCATTCATCACTTCTGACAGGTGAGACGTGGTACAGGGTTGCCATTCATCACTCCTGACAGGTGAGATGTGGTACAGGGGGTGCCATTCATCATCACTCCTGACAGGTGAGACGTGGTACAGGGGTTGCCATTCATCACTTCTGACAGGTGAGACGTGGTACAGGGGTGCCATTCATCACTCCTGACAGGTGAGACGTGGTACAGGGGTGCCATTCATCACTTCTGACAGGTGAGACGTGGTACAGGGGTGCCATTCATCACTCCTGACAGGTGAGATGTGGTACAGGGGGTGCCATTCATCATCACTCCTGACAGGTGAGACGTGGTACAGGGGGTGCCATTCATCATCACTCCTGACAGGTGAGACGTGGTACAGGGGTTGCCATTCATCACTTCTGACAGGTGAGACGTGGTACAGGGGTGCCATTCATCACTTCTGACAGGTGAGACGTGGTACAGGGGTGCCATTCATCACTCCTGACAGTTGAGACGTGGAACAGGGGGCCCATTCATCACTCCTGACAGGTGAGACGTGGTACAGGGGGTGTCATTTTTTCACTTCTGGCAGGTGAGACGTGTAACAGGGGTGCCATTCATCAATCCTGACAGGTCAGACGTGGTACAGGGGGTGCCATTCATCAATCCTGACTGGTGAGACGTGGTACTGGCGTGCCATTCATCACTCCTGACAGTTGAGACGTGGTACGAGGGTGCCATTCATCATTTCTGATAGGTGGGACGGGAGACGTGGGGGACGGGCGACGAGTCTTCAAGGGCGAGGGCGGTATCCCTGGACCACGGATCTATCACGCGGGACCTCGCTTCACGACCGGGTGGCCCCACTTCTAGTCTGTCACCCGACCAGTTGTGTTTAAATCACGCGAATCTTATTTGTTGGTGTGCCTTTTTCCCCGACCAATTACTCCTAAATGTTATTTAGGAAACGTTCTACGTCGACTATCAGGGGGAGTTTGTAAACGGAACATGTTCATCTTTTTTCAAGAGGCGGTTGGGTGGCCTAGTGGTTAAAGCGTTCACGCCGAAGACCCGGGTTCGATTGCCCACATAGGTACAATATGTGAAGCCCATTTCTGGTGTCCCCCGCCGTGATATTGCTAAAATCGGCGAAAAACTTAACTCCCTCACTCACTCTTTTTTCAGGAGAGGGACCGTCTACACAAACCGTACTGGATATTTATTGGGAACAAAATACAAGAAACTCTTCTACCGGCAATACAAGGATAAAGGGTTCAAATTCCCAGTCAAGCGCATGCCAGACGAGACATATTTGGGCTTCCTAGGACCCGTGATCTATCTGGAAGTCGGGGACATTTTGAGAATAGTGTTCAGAAATAAAGGACGACGTCCATTTTCCATTCACCCGGAAGGGCTACAGAGTACCACGGCCAGGCTCGGACCATGGCGGCCGGAACAACGCGACGAGGAAGTTGTTGAACCCGGCAAGACCTTCCGCTATCAGTGGGAGGTGACCCGTGCAAACGGCCCGGGGCCATTCGACGCCTCCTGTGTGTCCCGAATGTACTACTCGGACGTCAACGCCATTAAAGACACCAACTCGGGCCTCGTGGGACCCCTTATTATATGTAAAAGTGGGATTTTGGACAAATACGGAAAACGAACGGACGTGGATAGGGATTTTGTTGCGTATTTTACTGTGATCGATGAGAACTTTAGTTGGTACCTTGAGGAGAATATTGCGAAGTATTCCCCACGACCAGATCTGGTGGATCGGAACAACAAGAATTTTACAAACAGCAACAGACTGCACGGTAAGTTGAAGTGAGTATTCATCTGTCATCTGAATATCTTGTGTCAAAACTAGATTCCAGAGGACTCCACGCCCGTGCTGCGAATATCATAATGGGAAAGAATCGTTCACATTTACGTATTTTCACAATATTGAGGCTGAAACTTCTGTTCTTAGGCTACAGCGTCGAAATCCTTCATGTTTTCTCCAAATAGCTTATTATGTAACATTCGTGACAAGTTGCGTCAGTCCGAGAAACTGAAGAGCGACTCGTGCTCCTTTCGTGGCCATTTTATCGACTAGGTTATATGTTTGTGCAAACACGCATACCTTTGTTTAAATGGATATTTTCTAAATTTAAGAGTTGCCAATTACAAACATGTGTTGGTCGACATCGGGAGACAAACATCGCGCACATCACGAGTGCAACTTTGATGTAGATTCATTATTGCGTCTGTTTATTACAGCAATCAATGGCTACATCTACGGCAACCAGCCAGTACCGACGATGTACAAAGACGAAGACGTTGCTTGGTACCTATTGTCCCTGGGGTCACAGTTTGACCTTCACTCCGTTCATTTCCATGGCAACCTTGTCACCGAGTTCAGTGACACGGAGAGAAAAAATGACGTCACTCAGATCTTCCCGGGAATGTTCGTAACTGTGCGCATGCGTGCAATAAATCCCGGACGGTGGTTGTACCACTGTCATGTCAACAACCACATCAAGGCCGGTATGGAGGGGATGTACCAAATCATGGACAGGAAAACACGGTGAGGGCCATCAGGATGGATGTCTCGAACATCTAGATCTGCTTCATTCGAGACAACCAGACTAGACAATTCCTTGTGTCGTGTTGCGTCCCTGAGCCTGCAGGATCTGCTGTGGAGCTGATTCGTATTTGATGCTGACCTCTTGTTTGTCAGCAACACATCCCAGGTCGTTTGTTCCAGCTACGTCGTAACCCTCTGCAGCATATTCATGACGTCATTAAGTTCCAACGCCATACTGTGTTGACTGACATAGTGTTCAAAGCTACAAGGGCTGCATTTTTTATGTGTTTCACGTAGCCACCAAATTCTGAATATGGGTGGGTCGGTCGAAAAATTATAAAGGAAAAAAATCTCATTTATTATAATTCTTATTACAATTTCTCGCGTTCCTTGGACTTGTGGCAGCGACTGATCATAAGGTAAACATTTTATATGACGAGGCTGTACGTTTTAGGTTCGAGTTCAAGGTGTAAGTGTTTTTTTTGGACGTCGGCAATAAAATTAGAAGGGTCGGTCGGGGGATGAGAAACACAGAAAATAAAAATGCTGCCCTGAACAAAACTCACTTCCTTGTTGTCACCATTACTGGAGGTATGGAAAAAACTAGATGTAACCGTTTATCAGATATACAAAACAAACAGCAATTGCGTAACAGCAATATTTATGTTGGGTAAGTGCTAGTTGCGTTACACATTAATCACCTAGAAAAGTAACGTGAAGGGATGGGGTATGGGTAACACATTATCCCCATCAATAAAGGTTTCTACAGGCTTTGATTATCGTATTTTAAACGAGTTTTGTAATTTGACAGAAACTGTAAATGAGCTGTTGATTTACTGATGTACTTATTACGTCAGAACACACACTCCACGGCTGTCCTGTATTTGGTTGCACTTATCATAGATTTGGAGTTGGCGGAACAACAGCTAAGGTCTTACATGTGACACATGGTGAAATCTAATGCCACACGCACGCCCACCCGCCCGCACTAACGCCCACACACACGCACGCACACATACACTCATGTAAAGCACACCGCTCTGACAGGGGCCGCACACTCATCGGTCTGAAAGACAAACTAGCAGCCTGTCTCGTGTGTAGCGAGATAAGTATAACGGCGATAGTCAACCATACCTCAGGGCTGTTCCGTCGGCAGGCGGGGCGGCGGGGTAGCCTAGTGGTTAAAGCGTTCGCTCGTCACGCCGAAGACCCGGGTTCGATTCCCCACAAGGGTACAATGTGTGAAGCCCATTTTTGGTGTCCCTCGCCTTGATATTGCTGGAATATAGCTAAAAGCGGCGTAAAACCATACTCACTCACTCACTCACTCCGTCGGCAGGCGTATACCATTGGGTTTCATGTCTGTAAATAGCACCATGAACAACTACCTCGGCACCCATGGCCAGTGAAGTGTACCGGAAGTAGGTCGACGTCATCAGTCATTCGGCCTTCTGGGAGTAGCGGTAGTTTTTCGGACAATCTGTTACCGTTACCGGGACATGTTTCAAACTAACTGGTACTCAACTACGAGTTTATAACAAATAATACTAACTAAATAATGGTACAGTATATGATTAGTTATTTAAGAACTATTTGTGTATTTCTTCGGTTCACTGAGGTATGAGTCCAAAAATCGATTTGCAAATTGTATGCATCCGCGTCGAAAGTTCTTTCTTTGCACATCAGCTTCCGATTCATACTTCAATGAACCGATAAACAAACATATATAAACAGACAAACATAAATAAACAGACATGCCGCTGTGTTACGTAATTCTGATCACTAAATGTGTCTGTCAACCTCTTTTCCGGCGTTCGGAAATTTCCGTAAAGGGTATTTAGGACTCGTATATCATATATAGTATGACCAGAAACTATTGAGAATTTTAGGAATATGTTTAATTGGATTTCTAGTATAAACAACCTTGACCAGCTATCAAGTGCTTGGTTTCATTCAAGAGAGACAACTCCGTTAATCATTTTTCATTAGTTTGTGAAGAGTTATCCCCCTTTGTTTACTTGCCAGCAGACGACATTATCAGTGATCCTCAGTATGGATGATTTAGAGAAGAGGAAGTTGATTTTAGAGTATTATCACAAGGATATCAGATCAGCTAAAGTGATTTCAAGTAGAACAGGCATCCCTTTGTCCACTGTTTATCGTGTTTTGAAAAATATTGCAAATGGATATGGCATTGAGGACCAGGGAGGCGCAGATAGGCCCAAAAATTGACTGTCGGTGACAGGAGGCGGCTTGGTATTTTTGTTTCTAAAAACAAACGAAGGAGTTGAGAAAACTGAAGGCTGGATATGATTGATAGAGGAACTGTGGCTGTCTGTAAGGAGACAATTAGAACTGAGCTGCATGCAATGGGTTGGCAGAAAAGTCGAGGAATTCCATCACCGATCATGAAACCTGAACAAAAGGAGCGAAGGTTGAACTGGTGCTTACAGCATAGAAATTTTAACTAGGACAATGTGATTTTCTGAGAAGAAAGTTCTGTATGGCTGTTTCCTAATACACTGAAATTCTGGACCAAACAAACTGAAAAACCTTTGTATCAGCGCCTAAAGTACAGTCCTAAATTTAATGTGTGGGGTGACATATCTGTGTTAGGGGCAACGCCCCTCTGTGTATTTGAAGGGAATATGAACAGTGAGCGGTACACAGATATTTTCGAGGGACATTTACTTCCATCTTCTCACGTGTTCTATGGACATTTTTGGATTTTCCAGCAGGGCAACGACCCAAAACATCGTTCAAAGCATTCACAGGCCTGGTTTCGGACCCAAAATATTACATTATTAGATTGGCCAAGCTATAGCCCTGACCTAAATCCAATAGAAAATGTTTGGGGACTTATGAAGGAAAGTGTCAATAAGAAAAATCTGACAAATATTGCTGAAATGAAAGAAGAGGTGGTCCGATATTGGGACAGCATGGACCACGGCTTTCTAACTTCTTTGATCAGTAGTATGCCCCGCCGCATTGAAGCCTGCATTGCTGCCCATGGTGACTTGACAAAATACTAACTGTTCACTTGTCTTTGAATCTGGAGTTATGTTCTGCTAATATTCACATTTAATACGTGAGAAATGAGTGAAAAAAAAAAAAAAAATTACACTCTTTAAATTCTCAATAATTTCTGGTTGTACTGTATGTGGTATCATGATTTGCCGTTAAATAAAATAATGTGAGTAACAATTGCCTCTAGAGATTTACATATTGTTTCAGTAAGTTAACTGTACTTCGCACCACTGTACATTTTCTACAGGTTTCTGTTTGTGCTTGACATTCTGCCTTTGTTAAATATATTCTGCTTTCTCTCACGTGTTTCGGCAATCTATGTACTTTTGAGTTCGGGACTTTGGAGTGATGAAATAGCACTAGAGGGACCAACTGGACTTTATTCGGAATGGGTGACATTATTGTTGCTCTGACATGTCTGTCGGCTATAGGACTGTTCTACTGTAGCAAAACAAACCTGATGTAAACGTTAAATTTACTGTTATGCCTCCAGGCATTCAGATGTCAGTAATGAGGACGTGGAGTGCCCTTGATGAAGATGACATTAGACGGTCGTTCAGTGAAAGTGAGAAGTTCCCACACTAAATGAATAACAATTCGGGTTGTGTATGGCAGTTGTTCCAAGGAAGAACTAATAATTAACGCAACCACCGGTTATCGTGACCGCTTGAAGATCCATCCAATCGCGTCATACACATCACTGCTCGGACGCGTGCCTGTGTGGTACAGAACATACCGAGTCATGTTGGTGCATCTCCTGGTTGTGTTGTGTTGCTGTGCATGCAGTGATGCGGCTGAGAGACATTTCTATCTCAGTGCTGAAGAGGGGCTGTGGGACTATGCGCCTGGCGGAAGGGATCTGGTCTCAACTTGGAGGTAGGTCATTAATATGTATGTGATCTGTAAACTTTGGCAAAAACGTTATCATCGAAAAACTGTAATCACAGCTGTATCTGATTGGTACCAGGAGCTGTGTGGGATAGTGGTAGCACATGGAGATAAACCATGACACGTGTCTGTGTGTTGCTTAACAATTATAGCAATATATATTCCAACAATAATGACGACTGTCTGTATACAATCCTGTCTGGACAATTCAATCACTGTGACTGACATAACGAACATCAAACCACGCGATTTTAATACAACGCCATGCATCATCCAACCGATTACATCAGTCGAGGATTACATCAGCAAGGATTGCTGAAAATCTAACCCAGATCTTATAGACTTTTCAATGCTAATGCAACCTAGGATGAAGATGGTTTGATGAAATCTTCACCTTTTCGCAATTCATATTTACATTACTGTTGTGTCTGTTGCTACCGACTGGGCTGGGCGTACTTACCCTTTTCGCGAACATCTGTTGTCATCACCGATTTTCAGTGTTCCATTCACGTGACTGCCATAACTGTTTTGCTTTGTCCGCCCTGTGGGTTCGGTTTCGATTCTCGAGAACAAAAACTCTTGAGCGCTCACGTTGTGTACCTGGACTGATTGTAAAACCTTAATATCTTCTTCAGTATTTCCATTAAGATATTAGTTTTTCAGCGGCAACGCTAGTAGTAACGGCAAGACGATATAATATATTGTAAAGTTAGCCACTGTAATAGTTTGTATTTATATTGTGTATATTTGTCCTTTTAGTTTTATTTTTGTTAACATTTTAAAGACTTGATTTAGTCATGGCTGGAGGTGCACATGCCGAGTATATTACGGGCAAGCCCTTTGCATCACCATATCCTTCTCAGACAATGTACATTTCTTTTAAGTCAAAGGTCCAGCGTTCAACTGACCCTTGATCCTGAGGGTATCCATGAGCCGTCCACGGGACGAAGGAAGCTGTGATCGCGAGTTCTTGTATTTCAAAACACAGAAACGACCTCCATTTGGAAGGTGGCCCAAGCAACATGTTACAAAACTCCGTATTTAAAACAAAAATCATGTCTTTGGCTAGGGATCAATCAGATCAGACTGTCATTCTGACAAAATGGCTCTCATAACTTCACCTTTCATAGTTTTAAGCCTCCTTTTCTCCCAATAACGACACATTCTGTAACTCTGCCGTGTCAACCTGAGTAACCAAAGGCGCTTATGTTGTGAGAGGAAAACTGTTACCTTCAGCATTGATACTAATCTTCTATATCATCCCTCTCGTTCAAAGACGTTGTGCCGTCTGTTCTGGTGTATACCTGTGGGAAGACTTTAATCTTTGTGCGTTCTAACAGTTTCAATATGACCTCAAACGACTATCACATTGAGCAAAACATGTTCGTAGTGACTCAGACTGAGACTACACTGCATGGTTACGTCCCTTGGTACACGCACGTTTGTCTTGTAGAAACAATGCCTCAAGCTTGGCGAATGATTACATCACTAGAAGCCGAGATCGTCTCGGTCACGTGTACAAGAAGGCGATGTTCCGGGAGTACACGGACGCCACATTCACCCTGGAGAAACTGAAACCAAGATGGCTGGGCTTCCTGGGACCGATACTGGAGGTCGAGGTCGGAGACACAGTGAAGATCCACTTTATTAACAGAGCATCCAGGGAGTATTCTGTCCACGCCCACGGAGCGACGTACAACAAAACAGACGAGGGTAGGTGAGATGGGGCCATTGAACACTGAGCTGAATTTTTATTTGCCTCAATACTTCCGTTAAGATGATGAATTGACCAAAATTTGACTGACTATATAAACTGACGGGCTAAAGAAACGCTAACACAGATTAAAATCCTATTGTGAAGTAACCACAAAAGATACATCCATACAACAAAATGAACAGAGAATAGCACCCACTGCCACTCACGTCGCTGCCAACGTGGAACCGTACGGCCCATATAAGTCTCCATGGACGAGGTTCAGCTGTGAACTGCTATCCCCGGAAAGGTCTGTAAGCCCGGATTCAGTCGTCTGGCTACTGTCAGTTGTTCTTGCAACCTGGTTATGGGAGGCTCCCATTTCGATTGTCCGTTCTTATTGTCGCAAAGTTAATGGAACCATTCTTTTGGTGTTTTTTTTTTAATAGCATGAATGTCTGACAACCCGTTTGCATTGGTTTTATACCCGTTTGGAATTTAATTTTTTCGCTTTGCGTGAAAAATGTGCAAATCATATTTGGACAAAATGCATTGCCTTATTCCCAAGTGGGGAACTCAGTATTGCCTTTTGGGCGAAGGGTTTTCGTGTGATGGTGATTGCAGCTGGATTTTGAATTTTGGTAATTTCAATTTCAAAGTGGTAACGTTTCTATAGCCCGTCAAAACTATTGGATTTTTATGACACGTCACATTTGTCATGATTAATCTTTCGTGGGTATAGACTCTAGAACTCGTGATGATCTCCTCTCGCAGGTGCCCTGTACAACGACGGCTACCACAACGTGACGACGTCCGCCGACCTGGTGAAGCCCGGCGACAACTACACTTACACCTGGAACATCACTGAGGAGTCAGGCCCAGCTCTTGGGGGTGAGGAGTGCGTCTCCTGGATGTACCACTCCCACATCGACACCACACTCGACATCAACAGCGGCCTTGTGGGCTTCGTGTACGTCTGCAAGCCAGGTAAACACCGTGCACCAAAATAATGCGTATTTTTAGGTCACGTATAGAACTATTTAATGATACATATAAAATCACCTGTCTATGAACATATATAATTTGAATGTGTTTGTTTCACCACTTTGAACAATATGTTGGAGAAAAGTGAAGTGACGCGGATCAGGTCCTATAATTCTACCTCTTAGGCGGCAACAAAAGCAAAAGCACGTGTTTCCAATTAACAAGTTATTTTAACCGGAGGATTACTATAGGTATGCTTTCCTCTTCACAATCGCTAGTAATATAAAGACAAAATAAAATGGCAAATTATTGTTTATAAAAAAAGGAAGTGCCTTCTCCTACAATTGATCGTTATGGTATTATAAGAGTTAGTACCATAACACCTGTCTCAGTTTACCTGTACAGGAACGCTAAGGAAGCATCTGAAGAACCGCCACGTCGCGGTGTACGTGAGTCACGTGGACGAGAACTTCAGCTGGTACATCGACGACAACGTCATATTGTTTGCCCCTCACGCCAACCGAAGCACACGATCCTTTAAGACGTACAACGCCATGCACGCCATCAACGGCTTCGTGTACGGCAACCTTCCCGGCTTGGACTTCTGTGAAGGGGAAACTGCCACCTTCCATTTTGCAACCATGGGCCATGCCACCGACATCCACCAGATGGTTCTCAGCGGCCACTCATTCAAGCAGTTCAAACACAGGTAGACATAACCACATTCCCCGTAATAGAGTGAATATAGGTTTACGCCGTTTCAGAAATATTAAAAAAAAACATATCACGGCGAAGGGAAGAAATACATGAATTGTCTAACCCTGTACCAATATGAGGAAGAGGAGACCAAACCCTCTATAGTAGAATCACCATCCATGTAAATATAGCATAATATATAACCGGAATCGAGGAACAGCTGGGTAACATGTCCTTTGTTAACAGAATGAAGGGGTGATTTACGCTTCAGAGTATTGGTTTTCCCGCTCAGGAGTACGTGTCTTAAGACAAAACATAAACTGTCAATTAATTTGTTAATATTAATTTTTCCTTCATCTCAATCTGGATACGTTTAAAAAAATAATTCAAAAGGCGCTCATCGTTAATTTATTGCATCAATTTCATCAATTTGACAAATCTCCATCAGCAGTTTAGTGGTAATGCATCATTCTACAGTGTTTCAATATATGATTAAATATGCATATTTCGAGGAACACTTCCTTAAATGTTACACTCACTTCACCCTGAAAGTACCCTATGTTCTGAAAAAGTAAGGAATAAACTCCGAAGACTCGCCAATATTCGCGCGGCTGGTTGAGTCCGAGGCCGTTAGGCCGCGAATATTGGCGAGTCTGAGGTGTTTATTGCGCTTAAACTTAAAATCATACATATTGGCGCCCTGGTTTCGTAACTCTTGCACCCGAACACAGCAATATTAATATTGGCGTCTTACATCTGGGGTAGCACGGCATGCACGATACACACGCTATGAACACGCTCTGCTGTGCACGTGGCATTATATTGGAGGGATACAAAACAAACAAAATATTTTACTGCATCCATTTCACGAGATGTTTTCAACCATGGCAGGCGAATGGGGTTCTTTATGCAATGTCTCTGTCACTGAAAATTAATACATTTTCCGAAGCAATTGAATGGAAGTATGTCGAGTGTCAATTTTAATATCACTCTGAAAGGGGACAAAAATCATGTAGATACAGTTGGGAATAGTTCTTCGGATGAGGAATTGCTGCGTGAGTCGCCGGAATTTGACCAAATGAATAGTTCAGCAGATGATGAACTGATGCTTGCTTCTCAGCAGATAGAAAAAAGAAAGTGAACAAACAACTACCAAACGTTTTGGCAACCTTCTCTCAATTTCTAAATATCAAAGCTTGGAAAATCTCGCAAACAATAAAAATACAGAAAAGAAAAGCAGTGGGCAGTGCAGAATATTAAGTATTTATGATGCAGATCTGAATAGGACGCTGTGTCTGTTTGTCACAGCAGTAAGGAACCAAAGGAGTGAGTGAGTTTAGTTTTACGCCGCACTCAGCAATATTCCAGCTATATGGCGGCGGTCTGTAAATAATCGAGTCTGGACCTGACAATCCAGTGATCAACAGCATGAGCATCGATCTGCGCAATTGGGAACCGATGACATCTGTCAACCAAGTCAGCGAGCCTGACCACCCGTTTACGTTAGTCGCCTCTTACAACAAGCATGGGTTACTGAAGGCCAATTTTCTAACCCGGACCTTCACGTGTAAGGAACCAAAAGGGAGGTCAATACAAGGGCAACATAGTTCATGAGATTCTTATTTCGATGCAGAGATTCTTGCGCCAAAGTGGTCGAGATGTTAACCTAACCACCGATTTTGCTTTTAGGGGTCTAAGAACCATTTTAGACGCTAAAATGTAATCACTGACACAGGCTGGTTTTTGCATGCATAGAAGGCTAGGCAAGCTAGAGTCATCACACCACAGGAGAAGGATGCATTGTGGGAGTCGGGTTTGCTTGGGGATGACATCTCGGAGAAATTGCTTGAAACCGCTTTTTATTTGAATTGGTGATTAGTTAAAATCTTAAAATTTAAAAAAAATGAAATTCATATCGTTTTTCCAAAATAGTTTGTTTAAAAAAACATGACGACGGCTACAGTGCAGCTTGTATGCAATGTATGTACAACTTGACTGCGCCAGTGGGTTGTGATGACTGGGGAATCGAACCCGCGCCGCAGGCACTTTAACCACTAGGCTACCTCACCGCCCATAGACGTAATTAATAAGTGAGGTAGCCTAGTGGTTATAGTGTCTGCGGCGCGGGTTCGATTCCCCAGTCATCACAACCCACAATGTGTAAAGCCAATGCGTTGTGTCCCACACCGTTATACTACTGCAATTCAAGTGCTAAAACTGTACACTTCGTTGTGGAACGTAACGGTGCTAAAGTGACATTTGACAAGTAATAAATGGATGAAAACATTGAGTTTGTTTCTGTATTTCAGTAATGGGGTTATTACTATTTGGATTCAGCGTTAGGACCAGGTCAGTAATAGGGCGCCAGTATTGGAAAGTAGGGTGCCAATACACGCGATAAAGTCGCCAATATACGAAGCGAAGTCGCCAATAAACGAAAGGTACGGGCTTCCCATTCCATCCTTATTGGAGGGATATGTCGTGTAATGGAGGCAAGTTTAGGTTTAAATATGTTTATATCACCTTTATCAGGGCATTCAAAACATCCGCCACAAACTGTTGAGACATGTGACAATAAATGGCAGGAAGCCGTCCCTGTGTTCTGGGGTGGGGAACGGGTGGCCTCGTCGGTCAGGGTGCTTGGCAGAAAGCCTTATGAGTTCCTTAGACTTACCAGAAACCTATTATCTTTGGCTGGAATCGATGTTCGGATGATGTGTTTGTCGGATGATGCTTTTTCAAGCACCGTAACAGTAGTAAACGGGCGTTCATCACCCACCCAACCCCACCCCACCCCGCCTGACCCGTTCTGTTGTAACTGGAGTACTGTTCACAGTGACCTCAAACCCAACTCACTCACTCACTGTTCCAGGTACAACTCCATCAGTCTGGGTGTTGCCCAGTTTGTTACTGCGACTGTCACGATGCAGACACCAGGAAGATGGCTGCTGTACGATTCACTGGCTGCAAATCTGGAAGGTAGGACAGACATCAAAGCCGTCTAGAAATGATAATTGCAGGACTGACCTCACCGTAACCGCTTTTGAAATGACAATATAATGACAAATGCAATATTCCAGCAACATCGCGGCGGGGAGACCAGAAATGGGCTTCACAGATTGTGCCCATGTGGGGAATCGAACCCGGGCGGTTCATCAGGCTTGCTGACTTGGTTGATGCATGTCGGCGTATCCTGATTGCGTAGATCGATGCTCATGATGTCAATCACTGGATGTTCAGCCCTGGACTCCTAAATTTACAGACAGCTGTCATATAGCCGTAACTTTGCTGAGTGCGGCGTTAAACAACAACCAAACATCTTCGAACCCGAGTGTTGTTCCCTAATGTGTAAGCATCAGAAGATGAACGCATTATAGGACTAATTTCATTTCATCAATCTCCTTCATTATGAATTGTCAAATGGACATACGTGTTAACTGCGAAATCAAGTAAATCCAGGGTGCCCATGTATGCTGTTTCAGCCGGGTCAGCTGCGTTCGTCAACATCAGGCGATGCGGTGGAGGCAACAACGACGTCTTCAGGCCCAGATATGTGCGGCGCTACTACATCGCCGCGGAGGATGTGTTGTGGAACTACGCCCCCTCGGGCAAGGACAGATACAACGGGGGAGGCTTACATCGAGGGTGGGTACCGTGAACTGTAGACAACCAGGCTTACATCGAGGGTTGGTACCGTGAACTGTAGACTACCAGGCTTACATCGAGGGTGGGTACCGTGGACTGTATACCTCCAGGCTTACATCGAGGGTGGGTACCGTGGACTGTAGACCACCAGGCTTACATCGAGGGTGGGTACCGTGGACTGTAGACCAGGCTTACATCGAGGGTGGGTACCGTGGACTGTATACCTCCAGGCATCGAGGGTGGGTACCGTGGACTGTAGACCACCAGGCTTACATCGAGGGTGGGTACCGTGGACTGTAGACCACCGGGCTTACATCGAGGGTGGGTACCGTGGACTGTAGACCTCCAGGCTTACATCGAAGGTGAGTACCGTGAACTGTTGACCTCCAGGCTTACATCGAGGGTGGGTACCGTGGACTGTAGACAACCAGGCTTACATCGAGGGTGGGAACCGTGGACTGTAGACCTGCAGGCTTACATCGAGGGTGGGTATCGTGGACTGTAGACCACCAGGCTTACATCGAGGGTGGGAACCGTGGACTGTAGACCACCAGGCTTACATCGAGGGTGGGTACCGTGGACTGTAGACCTCCAGGCTTACATCGAGGGTGGGTACCGTGGACTGTAGACTACCAGGCTTACATCGAGGGTGGGTACCGTGGACTGTAGACCACCAGGCTTACATCGAGGGTGGGAACCGTGGACTGTAGACCACCAGGCTTACATCGAGGGTGGGTACCGTGGACTGTAGACCTCCAGGCTTACATCGAGGGTGGGTACCGTGGACTGTAGACATTACCAGGCTTACATCGAGGGTGGGTACCGTGGACTGTAGACCACCAGGCTTACATCGAGGGTGGGTACCGTGAACTGTAGGACCTGCAGGCTTACATCGAGGGTGGGTACCGTGGACTGTAGACCACCAGGCTTACATCGAGGGTGGGTACCGTGGACTGTAGGCCTCCATTTGTACATCGAGGGTGGGTGCCATGGACTGTAGACCAACCACCAGGTTCAGCTCAACCCCTCAGAGAGTCTATTTAGTTATAATGTGATTGGGTAACCGAATGATTCAAGCTTTTCTTCTCACTTTGAGCCCGTCGACCTCTCACTTAGTGACAAGTACACAATGCCTGCTGGCAGTACCCGTCATTACATATAACCACTCTCTCATTCCAATTCCTTATATAGCTGTCTATTCATATACTTCATAACCTTAAGGGCAATGGTTGGAAGTGAGTGATTCAAATATGAGTAAACAGTCATATGTAGCTAAAGAAAGCTATGTTTCAAGTTGGAAGCTATTCAAAGATAAGTAAATGACTGTCTAGATGTACCTTAAAGAGAAATGTTTGTCAAGTCAGATCAGCGGCTCTGTATTTCCAACACGACCGCTCCTCCATCGGCGGCACGTACAAGAAGGCGGTGTACGTGGAGTACACAGATAAGACGTTCAGGGTGCAGAAGAGAAGAACCAGTCGAGATGTTCATCTTGGCTTCCTGGGTCCACCAATCAGAGCCCAGGTAGGCGACGCCATTGAAGTGTACTTCCTCAACCGAGCCGACCGGACCTACTCCATCCATCCTAACGGAGTGAGACACGACAAGAGGAACGAAGGGTTGCTATACCAGGATTTCCAACAGGGTCAGTACTCGGAAAGGGAATAGGTGTGTAAGATGTCCTGGACGTGTAATGCCATCGTTCGCTCGTGGGTTTTGCCAACGTGACATGAGGCTAGGCTTTGCCATATGAAACTTATTGATGTGTTATAACTGAAATACTATTCAAGGTGACATTAAACCTCTAGCCGTATGTAGATTCCCTACAATGTGAGTGAACGTATAGACATAGCTTTGTGAGTGAGTTAAAACTTAACATCCACGACATTTAACATTTAACGTAACGAATGATGTCAATACAATAATCATAAAGGCGTATATGGGGAAGCCATAGGAGTAAACAGTAGCAACTTGACGTGTCAGATTGACAGCAGAGGAAAGGTCAGAAAACCCGAATGGCGCCAGCGGTTCAGGAAACAAGGGCTTTGTTCCCAATAACAATCAACCATAATTATCTGAGAGCCATTCTGTAGTTTGAATCCTTGACAGTGCATCCTGGCAAGAAAGGTGAGGTTACTCTGTACAGTCAATTGTGGAGTCCTAGATCCTCTTAGATTCACTAGAACGCGTCCATCTTTGAAAAACATCCGGTGTCATCACTGATATTTAGTGATCGATTCATATATTTTACATTGCTGTTTAACCTTCACACCCTGTGGGATCTCTTTCTGCGGATAATCCTGGTTACTCTCTGGCGCCGACGTTTTATGTGTAATCTCATTATCTTGTCACAGATACATCTAAATCATTTGTACGGCCAGGAAAAATGGTCAAATATCACTGGTCAGTTCCTCCATCCTTTGGACCGGAAGAGGATGATGCACCATGTCTAACCCGGATGTACAGTTCCGGAACTAACCTCATGAAGGATATCGCCAGCGGCCTTGTTGGACCAATGGTTATATGTAAGGAAGGATTTCTCACCCCAGACGGTCGAGAGGTAATGAGAGATTTCAAGTAAATTATATTCTGGTTTGATATTCAAATAACAAATCCTACTATATCACGCCCAGACACCGCTGGTCAGTGGCAATGATAATTTTGCATTTGAAGGTCAGTGTGTGTTCATCGGTTAGCACTGACCTAAGATTTCAAAATTACTATATGTCTCCAACAGATATCGAGTCAAAGCCAAATTGGTAAGATAGACGTAATGTCACAAATAGACAACAAGTCAAGATATACACGCCGGCTCATAGACACTTCCGTACAAATGTACATTGTATGAGAAATACGAAATCACAAAAGCCCAATTAGCATTAGTGTGTAAGGTGTCTGTTGTCGTTTCATTTAAAAATGTGTCTCAAAATTGACTCAATCTTCAAACAGTATCAAGTCCTTCTGGTCTGACTCAAAGTCCTGATTTAGATAAAGTCAAACATCATTGTGAGTGAGTTAGTTTGATTTTACGCCGCTTTTAGCAATATTTCAACAATATCACGGCGGGGACACCAGTAATGGGCTTCACACATTGTACCCATGTGGGAATGGAACGCGAGTCTTCAGCGTGACGAGCGAACGCTTTAACCACTAGGCTACCCGCCGCCAAACAAACATCATTGTGTCGAATCTTGAAGTTGTCTCGAAGTCATCAATTAATGTTTTTACCTATCTTTGGATAACACGAAGTATTTACTTAGGTTCGACACAACAGTGTTTCACTGTATTTCACACTGTAATGTATGCGCTGTTGACTGCGGCAGACACACTATTCACTGCCTGGTGACTCACTCCCCAGAGAGACGTGGACGGTCACTACTTCTTGTATCTATCAAACAACGACGAGAACTACTCTTGGTACATCGAGGACAACATCCACCTTGCCAGGGTAGATCCCCGGATCAACAGGACAGATCCACTGTTTGTGGAGAGTAACACCATGAGAGGTGCGTAACGTTCCGGGGCCCATCAGGCAGGTATTTGTTCATGTATTTACAAATATATTACAAGAGAATCTGATCTAAACAGCCACTCAAACACTTTTGTTTGGGTTTATCATCACATAAGCCGATATTGACATGTCCCGCCCTCGGATGGATCACAGTATGATGGCTGATATCGGGTGAGTTATATTGTTGCACAGATCAATATCGCTGATCACTGACTACACATATTTGTGTAAATGATGAAACAGGGCCTGAAGTTATTTCGGTTGATTTACAAAGTATGCACACGGGTCTCTATGTTCATGAACGCAAGTAATATCGAGGCCTAATCGTGAATGTCTGTACATCAAGGCTTACAGCTGTAACGTCTGAGTGATTCTTTCACTGATGGAGTAGCAGCCATGTCTTCAGCCGTTCTCATGAAGCAAAGCAAGCTCACCTGATACATGTACGACCAGAATATAAATATGTTGGATATACAGTGATATGCCATAATTATGTCATCAAATGGCCTCCGGGCAGCGGTGAGTAATAGGTGGGGGTCAAGTTACAAAGCTTGGTGCGCTCAAGCTACAAAATGATGGGGATCAAATTTCACAGGGTACATTTTCAGGGGTCACAGGTAATGTAGGGGGAGTAACTCTCGTCGTCTGCTTAATGTAAACAAGTTCAAGGTCAACTTCTCAAAATGGGGAAGAGAGGGAAAGCTTGTCAGAGGAGGTCAGAAAAATCATTCTTGAGATGAATTTAGCTGGATTTAAACAGGCAGACATTGCAGATGCCGTCCAGAGGGATCAAAGCACCATTTCCAAGTTTTTAAAGAGAGTTCAAGTGGAAAATAATGTCGAGAACATGCCCACACGCGGTAGGCCCCCAGTCTTGACAGAGAGGGGAGACAGGACACTTTTGAGAACTGTCAAAAACACTTGGGGATATTACATGTATTGTAAATGAGGCATTACCAACTAAAGTAAGTAAGAGGACTGTTCAAAGACATCTCCACAAGCTGAATTACAGGAATAGATTAGTGAGGAAGAAATTGACAGTAAGTGCTATGAACAGATAGAAGAGAATGTCATGGTGTAGAACACATTTTCATTGGAAAACTCAAACTAGTTGGTCCAAAGTGATATTTAGTGATGAGAGTCAAATTGTTCTTGGGAGAAATAACAAAATGTCTGTTCGGAGAATGTCTGGTAAGGAGTTCAGGCCATATTGTGTTGGCAGCAGGTGCCCTGATTTTCAGCAAAGGGGAGAGTTATCCGTGATGATTTGGGGGCGCATTTCCTACCATGGAGCTGGTACACTGGTCCAAGTTGATGGTCACATCAACAGTGAGAAGTATGTATCTATTTTGGACGAAAATCTGCATTGCCAAACACTTCACAAATGGTGATTATCTTTTCCAAGATGACAATGCCCCATGCCATGAGTCTCGTTTTACAAAAGATTGGAAAACTACGAATGAAATCAAATGTCTATCATGGCCATCACAATCACCAGACTTGAACATCATAGAAAATCTCTGGTTGCTGATCAAAATCAGGCTACAGAGAGTTTCACACACCATCAAATCCAAGGAGGAACTTTTTCAGCAGATTATCAGGATTTGGCAGTCAATACCCCTGCATCATATTCAGGCCCTATAATCATCTGTTCCAAGCAGAATAAGAGCTGTGAGGATGAATAAAGGTCACATCACAAAGTATTAGGCATCCAAAGTTTATTTTAGGGATAAGTAAGGTGTAATTTCTGTGACCCTCTATAAGTTTTGCCCCTAAACATGGCGGCCATTTTATACATAATTATGGCACATCACTGTATATATAACAGACAGATCACTGTATATATAACAGACAGATCACTGTATATATAACAGACAGACAGATCACTACAGATGACTGTATATATAACAGACAGATGACTGTATATATAACAGACAGATGACTGTATATATAACAGACAGATCACTGTATATATAACAGACAGATCACTGTATATATAACAGACAGATCACTGTATATATAACAGACAGAGACTATATATCACTGTATATATAACAGGCGATGATATATATATAACAGACAGAGACTGTATACATGGACAGATGACATCAGGCTGTATATATAACAGACAGTGTGTATCACAACTGACTGAGATCACTGTATATATAACCAGATCACTGTATATATAACAGACAGAGACTGTATATATGTGAACTGTGCACATATATAACAGACAGATCACTATATATCTAACATCACTGTAACAGACAGATAATATATAACAGACAGATCACTGTATATATAGACAGATCACATTAACAGACAGATCACTATATATAACAGACAGGACTGTATATATAACAGACCTGTATTTATTTAAGCCAGACAGATGACTGTATATTGGATAAGGACAGACTGTATATATAACAGAATCACTGTATATATAACAACTGACTGTATATATCAGACAGATCACTGTATATATCAGACAGAGATATATATGAGTATATATAACAGACAGATCACTGTATATATAACAGACAAAATATATATATAACCCAGACGACTTTTATACCACTGTATGAATCATACATGATTGACTGTATATATGACAGATGACTGTATAACTATGACAGATGAAGTCTGTATCAGAAACTAAAACAGCCACTATATAGGAGACATGACTGTTTCACTGATCCTGAATATAACAGACAGATGTTATATATATCAACAGACAGATGACTGTATATAACAGACCCTGAACATAAACAGACAGATCACTGTATATATAACAGACAGATGACTGTATATACAAATATAACAGACAGATTATCTTGTATACCTTAATGTTAACACTGTATGAAGCATGACTGTATATATAACAGACAGATCACTGTATATATACGAACAGACAGATCTGTAATATTCCGTACATATATAACAGACAGATCAATACTACATTGAAATGTTACTCACTTGTAAGCGGGGTACATTGAAAATAATAGAAGTAACGTGCTCAGCCAATCAGATAAGCGACACTTTCTTAGTAAGATAATCTGGCTAAGCATCAATTGTATCTACCAAGACTGTATAACACACTTTCCAATAGTCACCTGTCCCGTATCTTGAGCAACAGTCCAGCAAATCCAGCCCTTGCTGTCTACATACGTTTGGCATACTCTCGACCATGTCCTTTCCGCCAAGATGTCTTTGACTCTTATTTCCCGCTCTTCCCGATAATGTGATAGTTGGCAACCTTTTAATGAGGCTCCCATGTTGGTATTACTTCGCCACCAGGTACGTCGCTTAGGTGATTCCTACACTGGACATTCACACACGTCGAGGTGCTTCTTTGTTTGTTCAAAGGTTCTTCGTCAGTATATATTTCCTTATGATGTTTTTGCATGTCCGTACAGCCATTTGCTGCGAGGTGATGTGTCCGTGTTTTTGTTGTCCAGCTATCAACGGCTTCATGTACAGCAACCTCCCTAACATGACGCTGTGCCAGGGGACACGCGTACGTCTCCATGTGTTTAGCATGGGTTCTGTTCAAGACCTCCACGCTCTGTACGTCCATGGGAACGACTTTGTCGAGGACGACCAACACAAACGTGCCACAGGGCTCACGTCAGGCACCATGAAGAGTTTGGTTTTGTCTGCAACACACGAAGGTCCGTAATCCATGAACGTACCTTGTGCACTTATTAGTACTGTATATATACAACTAAACATCGACATAGCATGTCTTGAGTTTTCTTGTACTTAGTAAAATCAACTACTGTAAACCCGTTGATGTCAAGAAATACCATGTCGACGTATAATAATAATAATAATAATGATGTGTCCTTTTATATAGCACCAAACTCCACACTAGGTATGCTCATAGCGCTAACAATCAAGGCACAGCACATTATTACCCCGGATAACCCAAGCTGCCTGTTAGGCGCTAGAAGGTTATAGTCATATGACTTTTTTCCACCAGGTACCCGTTTATTTGTCTGTATAAAGAACTTTCATCTGTCGTGTGCCGGGGTTACACTCAGTGTGCATGGTTCATTGTCATTACCACCCGTGTGTATGTATGGAGCACTATGATTAACCCATTGGTGATCGGGTATTAGGTATTTTGTAAATGAACCTATTTTTACCTAATGTTAGATAAGAAATAGAGATCGATGAAGATCAAGGTTTGGTTTACTAAACCACTTCTGGGGAGATTTCTTGGACAACGCGTCCCCTAGACGTTTATGTCTTAGTTCATACATATTCATAAACGATTGATAAAGTGGTGATGTTTGTTTGTAATTGTTGACAGGCTTCTGGGCCCTGCAGTGCTACAACTACCACCATTTTGAAAGTGGCATGACTGCACTGTATAATGTCCGGAAGTGCACGGGGGAGTCAGGACGGCCGGACACACAACATGCACGGAGGGAGAGAAGATACTACATCCGGGCGGAGGAGGTACTATGGGACTACGGTCCCCTTGGAAGGGACGCAATCAAAGACCAGCCTTTCGGAATACCGGGGAGGTATACTGTCATAGAGAAGTCCTGCTGTTTTCTGAAACTCTTTCTATCCGTAGCGAAATGTGGAACAGTTGGCTTGGTGTAACGTCGCGCTATGTGTTCTGTCCGTTTTTTCCTCCAGGGTGGTGTGGTTGGACGTCCTTGGAAAAGAATATTGTAAACGTTTGTATTTTCTGCAGCAACGTTTTGGGAAACGGGATGTTGAATTTATCGTTTTCTATTTGAGTGTCTCCGTGAGTCATCGTCAACTACACAGCACATTACTGACATGGGAAGGGTAAAAGCTAGACTTGGACAGGAGTTAGTGGCCAATCTTACCCAGGTTAAATGTTACCACGTTCTGTTTCTTTTCCATGTTTCCATGGTTGCATACCTAATTTGAAAAGATGAATTGACCAAATAAACCCCACGAATGTAAGACTGTTTATGATCACACACCAAGATTTTAAACGATATGAACAGATTGGAGCCAATTTGCTGCGGATCCAGGCACCCAAGGGATACAACTCGCGGTGCCGTGGATCAGTGTATTGCAATGACTACCATATCATGTATATTAGCATAAGACTCCATTCAATCTACTGTTTATTCATTTACAGCTAAGTCTACAGCAACACAAATAAAAACGAAACTTTAATTTGCATATTTATTTTTCAGCAAAGATTACGTCTACACAAATACAAACGAGACGTTTTTGGGAACAAAATACATAAAACTGGTATTTGTCCAGTACACAGACGCAACATTCAAGACACCAAGACCCAAAACAAAGGAAGAGGAGACCCAAGGTTTCATTGGACCCATCATCAAGGTCGAGGTCGGGGAAACCCTAACTGTCGTCTTCCGTAACCAAGGGAGACGACCTTACTCTATTCACGCTGAAGGCCTTAGTTATAACCGTAATGAGATAAGGTGGAAGGTCAAAGGTAACGACCAGCCTGTTGTTGCCCCTGGTAACACATTTACCTACCACTGGACGGTTGCCTATGGTAACGGCCCCGGGGGTGCAGATTCCAACTGCGTGACACGGATGTACTACTCTGACGTCAACGTGACAGCGGATACCCACACGGGTCTGATTGGTCCGCTGGTTGTATGCAGGTAGCACAGCCCTGTTATTTCGTAAAGCCTCATTTCACAATACTTCTCAGTATGAAGATCTGACAGTCCCTCTGTAGAAGGTCAAGTACGTGTCCGGTGACCACTGAGTAAACTTTCACCGCCCATTCTATACGAACGATGCGATGGTCCCTGGGATGCCAGCTTTCTAAAACGATTCAGCTTGATGTCTTTATCGCCTCGTGGCCCAGTGGTTAAAGCGCTGGCTCGTCACGCCGAAGACCCAGGTTCGATTCCCCATATGGGTACAATCTGTGAAGCCCAATTCATGTGTACCCCGCCGTGATATTCCTGGAATATTGCTAAAAGCGGCGTAAAATTACACTCACTCACTGTGTCACCTTGATTAGAAAACCTCGATTTACCTAAAGTTTAACACACATATTGACTGTGCTTCCGTTTTGATCCAGGTGCCACTTCTGTCTGATGCAACATGTGTGTCCTATACTCAGCAATATAGTGGTACCACCTTTGACATTTCCATTTGGAACTGCCCGATTGTGTTAGTTTTTTAACTAGTTAAAAATTCAAATCTTTGCGTTTAGAATAATTTCAAGTATTTGCTTGTATGGAATACGGTATTTGAATTAATATCTATTCTGACAGGAAGGGGATTTTAGACGTCAATGGTCGACGGAAGGATGTGGACAGAGAGTTTGCTGTCTACTTCACTATTGTCGACGAGAACTCCAGCTGGTATTTAGACATGAACATCAAAAAGTTTGCATCCAGACCAGACCTGGTTAACAAGACGTTGAGGGGATTCACGACAAGCAACCATATGCATAGTGAGTAACCACGACAACGCGAGCAATTTTAGAGATGTGTTACTGATGACTGCTACACCCATCCACGACACCAAGTTTATCTCTGCGTGCATGTTGTTTTTCCATTCCAAGAAATGACCAAAGTCTTCAGTACCTCCTGGTTGTCAGCTTGATCGTAAAGCAACTTGTTCTCAAGAGGGCGTGAGCCATTTTCTTTCGTGTAAGCCCGACACGTTGCAAAGCTTAATATTTAGATAGTATTGAGGGCTTGCCCAAATTTCATAGCAAAACCATGTGGGCTTTTTTATACAATGGAAGCTACGCCCCTGGTTGGTATGGTTTTACGTCGCATGTATCAATATTCCTGGAAGATGACGACTCCAGATATGGACGTCACACGGTACCCATGTGACAGACACGGCTATCACCACCGTCCTCCGGTTATCATAGACATTACATGACGTTAAAAGTTTCGCTGATAGAGCCGCTTATTGTCTACTGGAACAACAACGTTCGCTTAAACTTGCTGCGTTTAATACTAAACAGAACGAATAAAATTGTCCTTTTCATCTGTCCCCATTAAATACATTATACAGTTTCTTCATAATCTTGCCTCTGAACATATTGAGTACCTTCCATGGTCAACCGCCATTGTGGACGATATTTTTCATGTACATTCACTCACTGTGGCTGTTTCGCATATTTAAACTAACGGGAAAAAGAAATCACTGATATTACAAATCGACAAACCACCATTGTGAAAAAGGAAAGTGAATTTTAGCATGCACATGCATGTTGCCCATAGACCTGTTATTAAACTCTCCATTTCACAATGGTGGTTTGTCGTTTTGTAATATCAGTGATTAGGACTCGGTATCGTTTCTTTTGCCCGTTAGTTTGTTTGCAAATTCATGATAATTTATTTCAGGTGTGAACGGCTACATCTACGGCAACCAGCCCGCCCCCGTCATGTACAAGGGGGAGGAGGTGTCCTGGTACCTCATGACAATGGGGTCAGAGTTTGACCTACATTCACTACATTTCCATGGCAACCTAGTGACGGAATTTAGTGATACCAACAGGAAAAACGACGTCGTCCAACTTTTCCCGGGAATGTTTGTCAATGTGCGCATGCGCGCTATGAACACTGGGAAATGGCTGTATCACTGTCATGTGAATAATCATCTCGTAGCGGGTATGGAGTCGCGGTACCACGTGCTGGAAACGCTAAATTGAAAAGAAACTGCCGGCAATTAACTCGTCGGACATGCTTTTCTTGTAATAAATGAAAATGTTTTTTTGAGGAGAGGATGGTGGCCACTTTTTGCCTAGTTCAATGGAATTAAGTGTGAAGGAAAAGTGAGACTTCCTCAGGTGAACTACTAGAAGATGGTTATTCAGGAGGCTTGTAAATTTACCGTTACCTATATTCATGTCAAGGTGTATACATATCACATTTCATGTGAAGTCTTTGTATTGTGACTACAAACAGTGGTGACAAATAATGTTAACAGCAGCCTTTAAGGGTGTAGCTAAATATGTTATAACCCGTCATCGGTGGATCTTTGGTTGTACGCAGATAACTTGTAGTTAGATCTGGAGGTCGGGTAACGAACGTGTTGGAGTTAACCAGGGCTCAGCATCAACCATCTGCGTTAGCATGCGCGTATAAACAATCAACATTAATATCATGCTGCGACTTTCCGATACAAATTTAGAGATTTTTGTGTATGACCGCGATCAGTTTACCAGAATCACAACAGTCATATTTTCGTTGTAAAAGTAACCACAAACGACACTTTCTTAAACCATATTTAAACACTATTCATCATTCGATACACCTGTAAAATATTCCCGCAAACAATGGACATGTGTCTTCATAGAGAAACAGAAACATGCGTCATACAGTGAATATACTTTAAATACAAGGTCAGTTTGTTGGTCGGTCATAATTACCACAACGGGTTAAAGAATTAAATGAACTCCACAAACCGCAATCTATTTCACAAATATACCACATAAAAACGAACTAGCTGTCAGAGGGCCACCAGGAATTACTGTGTGTGTTAGTCACAGAAACAGTGTGTGATAGAATGACTGATTAAGTGGAGGGTTGTCTGGGTTAATTACTACGGTGCGTTACATATGTTCAACCCTATGTCACCTGATTACAGTTGTACGTCTTGTTCCGAACGAAATGTGACAAGTAAAAGTCGCAATAAAGATAGATACACTTCAGCCCGGAACACTTCCGTGTTATAACTGTTCCCTTGAATGACGACCTGCGCGTCTCATTATTATGTATTATTTATATATATATATATTTTATTTGGCGAACGGTCTTGTTGCCGGCTCTTTATAGTGCTGGTATGTACATTTACAAGTACAGAAACTTTAAAAATCAAGGTCAGGTGTGTTTATCGGGTATGGAAAAGTTTGGAACCGATTGTGAACCTAGCTATTTCATTGTTTTCTCATACCAAATGTAAACCGTCTTGGTCAGAATGAATTTTTTCAGCGGACATTTCGGCTCCGAGGGTCTAGCATGCATACGTCTACCAAGGCCTGAAGACCATTTCTATTCTTTAACTGGTATAGTTCGTTCAATGTGACGTTAAACACACCTCTCTCTCACCGAAAAACGGTAAACATGCCCACAGGCTCGTAAAGTTCAAAGAAGAAGCCTTAAAGCCGCCATGAACAGCCTAACATTTATGCCATTGCCTGAAAGCCTATTGTCGGGGGGCTCGCTGACCTGGTTGACACATCTCATCGGTTCCCAATTGCGCAGATCGATGCTCATGCTGTTGATCACTGGATTGTCTGGTCCAGACTCTATTATTTACAGACCCTCGTCATAAAGCTGGAATATTGCTGAGTGCGGCGTAAAACCAGCCTCACTCACTAATGTCGGAGGAAAGCAATGAGATGAAGAAATGTCTGTTTTGATCCACTGTCCATTATACGCGCTATTACGTCTATGATAATGTTTATCTTGCCCCCTTTCACCACATATATATTATTTAGTCATGGTCGAATGAGAGGGCGTTAGAAACAGACATTCAATGAGAACCACTGCCAAGTGTCCCTTGTCAACTCTGAACACAGCAAGGTTTGATTGTGTGTCACCCTCCGTGACCTGTCATCCAGGGTTTAGTCTAATCCTGGCGAGGACCCACTAACTCGGTCAACTCTGCATACATGGTTAACGTAGTCTGTCATTGTCACCAGATAAGGGACAAGGCCCAATGTTGCAAGTGGACATATAAGCGTTGACTGGAGGGAGTGAATATGGTTTTATGCCACCTTTGGCAATATTTCAGCAATATCACCACATGCGGTGCACTGGCGTCACGCACGTGTGGGATTTCGAACCCATGTCTTCGGCGTGACGAGCGAACGTTGTATTACTAACCGACCCGATGACTACATCACCTTATTGATTGGATACACAAATACCTTACGTCACATACAGTTGACCCCCAAGGGACACACAAAACAACGTTGATATCAGTCTATTTTCGAAGGCCAAATTTTGATTCTGTGTGGCGAAAAATAAGCTAAGGATATTTTACGTGCGCTTCGTTAGTAGGCAAGAGTTGTCTCTCTTTGACCTTAAGGTATTGGCGAACGTCAGTGATCGGTGACCCTCATGGAGACTCAATACCCAGTCAGGATACAATGTGACCGTCATAGAGACTCAACACCCAGTCAGGGTACAATGTGACCCTCATGGAGACTCAACACCCAGCCAGGGTACAATGTGACCGTCATAGAGACTCAACACCCAGTCAGGGTACAATGTGACCGTCATAGAGACTCAATACCCAGCCAGGGTACAATGTGACCGTCATGGAGACTCAATACCCAGTCAGTGTGGGGTACAATGTGACCCTCAATGTGACCCACTCATGGAGACTCAACACCCAGTCAGGGTACAATGTGACCGTCATGGAGACTCAATACCCAGTCAGGGTACAGTGTGACCGTCATGGAGACTCAATACCCAGTCAGGGTACAATGTGACCGTCATGGAGACTCAATACCCAGTCAGGGTACAATGTGACCGTCATGGAGACTCAATACCCAGGGTACAGTGTGTCAGTCAGGGGGTACAATGTGACCCTCATGGAGACTCAACACCCAGTCAGGGTACAATGTGACCGTCATGGAGACTCAACACCCAGTCAGGGTACAATGTGACCGTCATGGAGACTCAACACCCAGTCAGGGTACAATGTGACCCTCATGGAGACTCAACACCCAGTCAGGGTACAATGTGACCCTCATGGAGACTCAACACCCAGTCAGGGTACAATGTGACCTCATGGAGACTCAACACCCAGTCAGGGTACAATGTGACCGTCATGGAGACTCAACACCCAGTCAGGGTACAATCAGGGTACAATGTGACCGTCATAGAGACTCAATACCCAGTCAGGGTACAATGTGACCGTCATAGAGACTCAATACCCAGTCAGGGTACAATGTGACCGTCATGGAGACTCAATACCCAGTCAGGGTACAGTGTGACCCTCATGGAGACTCAACACCCAGTCAGGGTACAATGTGACCGTCATGGAGACTCAATACCCAGTCAGGGTACAATGTGACCGTCATGTAGACTCAATACCCAGTCAGGGTACAGTGTGACCCTCATGGCGACTCAACACCCTAATTAGTAATTAGTGTTATGCATTTTATACTGAAACGTGACTTTCACAAAAAATACACAATGGTGCAGTTTGACGAACAATTGCCTATGAAATCCGCCATCCATTACTTCCGGACCAGGACAAAATACATGGGTTAGACACACCAGTCTCAGGGTAACCTCTCCTTGCTCTTAGTTAACCCTCTGTGCCCTCGGTGTCCTCCAGGTGATTCAATGTCTTCCATATACCCCTGAACGCCCCACCCGCATGACATGAAAATATACTTAAACTGTATAAGTATTGAAGTGTTCAGGGGTTCGGAATCAGTGGGAGTGTATTAATGTTTCAGGTTCGTCACAGAGGCCGAGGATCAACTGCGTTTAGGCTTGTAATGCCAGTTGGTATTTACAATCAGAATGACTAGTTTTCATGCTAAAAGAAATTCGCCAGCAGTTGTTTACGATTCAGGAGTATGGCTTCTTCACCGAATCAATGGTGTCGAAAACGATAAATTCTACGTCTAATGCTTTACCATGATATGTTGTTTCTTTGTGTCCTTCTAAAACCAAATCCCTATCCGTTTCTTTATCAGCACCGGTAACACATTCACTTTAATGGAATCATGCCATTTATCTGTGACGTATATTTGTGAGAGCAATAATATAAATGAATACTTGATTGAATGTCCGAAAGTGTTTTCTACTTAACGACACAATTCCTGTTTACTAAACTGTAAGTTGTTCATGTTTACGTGTTTCTCAGTTTACCCTGTCGGTTTTAACTCGCTGCCAGCGTTTACCTTGTTCACGAAGAGCTTACTTCAATTCATCTTGTACATGAAGTGTTTGCTACAGTTTATCTTGTACATGAAGTGTTTACAACAGTTTATCTTGTTCATGAACTGTTTACTACATCTTTCCTTGTAGTTCATGAACAGTTTACTATGTTCATGGAGCGTTTACTCTCTCTACGTTTGTTTTGTTGTAAGTTCATGAAACCTTCACAACAGATATCTCTGATCACCTGTCCTCAGTCGTCAACTGAGCTCCAGTGTAAAGGATACAACATGGAATGTGGACGTTTTACAACCACATACAACCTGTTACTCAATACCCTACAGTCTCTATTGTGTACACATAACACCACATACAACCTACTCTCAACAACACAAAATACAATATCACACAACTCCACATACAACCTACTCTCACATAACACCACATACAACCTACTCACACAAACACCACCAATACAACCTACTCCACACAACACCACATACAACCTACTCACATAACACCACATAACACATACAACCTACTCACATAACACCAAATACAAGATCACACACGTACAACCTACTCACACACCTACAACTCTCACTTATGACACCACATACAACCTACTCTCACATGACACACCACATACAACCTACTCACATCACATGACACCAACATACAGCCTACTCTCACACAACACCACATACAGTCTACTCTCTTATGACACCACATACAGCCAACTCTCACACACCACATACAGCCTACTCTCACACAACACCACATACAACCTACTCTCACACAAATCCACATACAACCTACTCTCACACAACACCACATACAACCTACTCACATAACACCAAATACAAGATCACACAACTCCACGTACAACCTACTCTCACACAACACCACATACAACCTACTCTCACATAACACCACATATAACCTACTCTCACATGACACCACATACAACCTACTCTCACATGACACCACATACAGTCTACTCTCACACAACACCACATACAGCCTACTCTCTTATGACACCACATACAGCCTACTCTCACACAACACCACATACAGCCTACTCTCACACAACACCACATACAGCCTACTCTCACACAACACCACATACAACCTACTCTCTTATGACACCACATACAACCTACTATCACACAACACCACATACAACCTACTCACACAACACCACATACAACCTACTCTCACACAACACCACATACAACCTACTCTCAAACACCAACATACAACCTACTCACCACACAACACCACACAACCAACCCTCACACAACACCAAATACAACCTACTCTCACACAACACCAAATACAACCTACTCTCTTATGACACCACATACAACCTACTCTCTTATGACACCACATACAACCTACTCTCACACAACACCACATACAACCTACTCTCACACAACACCACATACAGCCTACTCTCACACAACACCACATACAACCTACTCTCACATGACACCACATATAACCTACTCTCACATAACTCCACATACAACCTACTCTCTTACGACACCACATACAACCTACTCCAATATAACACCTCATACAACCTACTCACATAACACCAAATACAACATCACACAACTCCACGTACAACCTACACACTATGAGCTGTTTGGTAGCGTAGTTTCTAAGCGTTCGCTCGTTTTCGATTCCCTACATGGGTACAATTTGTGAAGCTCATTTCTGATATCGCTGGAATAGTGCTAAAAACAGCCTTAAAGAGAACTCACTGACTTACTACTCTCACAGAAATACGCATAGAACCCAA